GGCTCATACAAGCTGTATACCGATCGATATCGCAACATTTTGAGTCTAGTAGTTTGCGCAAGGTCTAGTAGTTTGCACAGAGTCTAGTAGTTTGCGCAAGGTCTAGTAGTTTACAACGTTATATATTGATATCTTTATAAGTAGAGCAGTTATTAACAAACTAAATATAGATTTGAAATTGTAGCGTAATTCTATATTAAATTGTGTGGCTAGAGCGCTGCAATAGTGGCTGTGCAGCGTGTAGTCACGTGAGGAACACTAAAACTTAACCTCTACCTTTGAACGCGGATATCTCAACAACGAGAGCAGCTATCGATAAACTGAGTAAAGATCTGAAATCCTAGTGTAAATCCGCACAAAATAGCTTCTTTCGATTTTCTATAGCTAGCTCTGTAGCGAAGATAGCTAGCGTTGATCCTACGACCTTGATCCTACTACTCGTTCTTATCGCATCCTTATCGCTGCTAACAAAACCGCTTAATTGTAGTGCAATTAAGGGCATCCTCTAAGGTAGGATTAAGGACATCCTCTAGAGTAGAGTCTTTAATTAATAACGCTAAAAGAGTTTAAAGTAAGTAGTAATAAAAAAAAAGTAAAGAAAAAAGCGTATATTAAAGTAGGCAAGTTGTCTTAAGAACGCTGTAGACGCTGTAGTAAGGCTAGACATAACTTACGCATATGTAAGTAGGATGCAGCAGTAGATTCTAAGTAGAACAGTCTATTACAATTTCTAATTACTATTGTGAATAGTGCTGTACAGCAGCGTGTAGTAGTAATTTTAGTGGGGTATTAGCATCCTGAGCCACTCGCTATTCCTATACGTTACCTTTTTAGTGCTATTATCGATCGTGTTCGTGTTGTTTTAGGTAGAGCTAACAGTGCAGGTTGCGCCTTAACAGCACCCTCTCTACCCTAGAAGACGTGTGGAGTTCCTTAGGAACAACGATATTTTTAGTAAAAGCGACAAGGCGCGATAAGAAACGGAACGTGGGACTCTAACATAAGACTCTAGCACTTAGAGTTAGCTATCCAAAGTAATATTAAACAATCTAAAGAGGCTATTTTGTGCGAGATTGGCACGGATTGTTGGAGAGAGCCTCAAAGATTCTCCGTACTCGGTAGTCTTGAATAGCGCGCAGTTGGTTTGGCGTTGATGAATGGACCTTCTACGGAGTCAACGATGTCGAGTTCCTCGGTCGGTACGACCATGCGCGCGTGCTTTGAATTGGCGACATCCAGTACCCCCAGAGTGTCTCCTAGCTCAGTGATTGGTATCGCCTCATCCGTGCGCGTCCAGGTTCCAAGACCGAGGTTCTCATGTGCTAGGCGTTGCAGCTGTAAGGTGGATCCGGCTTGCCACTCGGCGTGGCTGTACATCAACTTTGCACTGCGAAGGCGCGGATATCGTAAAAGAAGGGCGAAAAGCTCCTCCACGAACGTCGATATGAGCATCAGCGTGCTTCCTACGATAAGGATCACACCTAAGATCCAGGCGCTGAAAGAATAGTGCTTGGAGGAGCGGATTTTCTGTTGTCGCGAATGTTAGTGCAGGCAGGCTAAACAGGATCATACACAAACCTGGCTATGACATATCCTACGGCACTCCTTTTCACCCTCGCAGTACATGTTTTTGCTCAAAGTAAACCCTCTAGCATGCTCGACCATCATAGATTGTATAGCAGCAAGACTAGCTTTGTATAGGTATTCGCGCTCGTCTTGCCATCGGTCCTTCGGTATAGTGGCTACCTGCATGTTAAGAAATATGGTACTGCGTGATAGAAGGGTTGGTGAGTTTGGTATAGCATAATAGGCATCCAACAGGCCAGCGCCTTGATTGCTCAGTGCAGCCACAAATGCGCGCATCGCAGATTGATCGTTCGCGTCTGGCCAGGCACTTTTGAACGGGTCCAACGAATACTGACCACTAATAACAGCGAAACCATCGATGCATCCAACATTTTCGGGAAGGTTCGGGTTGCAATACGACCTCTGAGTTACGCAGCCCAGTACACCAACAGGCTCGTCAGCAACGAAGTAATGGCTGCCGTTCGCGCTGGAAGCCAAAGAGCTGTCATCAAAGAGGCTTGTAGCCGAGAACCAAGGATCCTCTGTCTTGTTGGCGTATACGACTTCCGAGGCATCTAGAAATAACAATGACACGGACGCATTGGGTTTCCTTAGTTCTGTTATGAGCTCAATATCCTTTTCTGAATCGGAGGCTGTCAGGGCTCTGCTCTGAAGTTAAATCTGTGAAAATAGTGTGCGATAAGTCTGATGGGACCTACGTGACTTTATAGTTGCCAATAGTAACGCCGTCGAACGACGGCTTTTCGTACCTAACGTCAACTGCGAAGATATGACTGTCATTGCCCTTGAGTCCATATGTGTTCCCATATCGATAGACCTGTCGAGTCTGGGAGTTATTTGGGGCCACGACGGTGTCGGTGAAGCCAGCTGTTTTCAAAGGCGCGCAGTGCGTCCGATGGCGAAGAGTAAACTGTGGGTTTTTATTGAGGCCCAGGTGTAACTCAGAGCTTAGTACGCCTGAGTCGAGGAGGATGTTACCAACGTCTGACTTGCAGATCCCCCTGGCAAATGGACACGAAGCGTTTTTCTCTGACGTAAAAGGTAATTTTGGTCTCGCAAACGTTTCGCACAGTTCGTTCTGGGCAGTGTCGCCCCCGCGGTAGCATTGCGTCGCATATGTAAAGGCTTCGACAGATTTCTGACTCTGATAAAGCATGATGGGCTCCATGGTAGACGCTCGGAAGTCCGGATCGTTGACGTACACCCCACAATTTCGGCCAGCTATCAAAACTTCGTTATTCGAGTTTGTCAAAATTCTCGAGGACAAAAGACCTGAGAGGATCAGTCATCAACAAAGCACAAAAGCAAACTCCACGAACGTACCAGCAGCGACAGAAGCGACAGAAATAGCAGAAGCTATCAGGACGACCGGCAGTATCCGCTGTTGGCTCCCCTTGGCGCGACCTCGCCAGACATAGCTGAGTCGACACAGATCCAGCACGGCATCGAGTGCTAATGATTGATTGCGCAAGATGGCCTGTCGCTGGTGGTAGACACCGTCCTGCTTACTGAGGGTTGACTCAGTGGCATAGACCAGAAATCGCGTAATTTTCCAGAAGCTACGCGATGTGGCAGCAATAAACAAAGCGAGAAAGGCTATGATCAGACCACCAGCTTGACGGTCAAGTGTAAGGGTCGCGCCACGAACTGCACCAAGTGATTGATTGATCCAGAACCCTTTGTAGATGTCTTCATCAATGGACCACGTTGGTAATGTCAGGGGCATGATGTGAGTGTCTCCGGAGTTTCCAGGTATCAGGGTTCTCAGATGCACGATCGATCAATTGAATGCCTTCGGCCGTTTCGCTGACCAGCTGAGCCGTCTATGCCGGACTGAGATGAATACAGGGTAAGGAGATTGTGTGGCGAGTGTTTGATAAAATGGTCGGTGGCTGCGCTTCAGCTGTTCACCCCAGCCTTGTGTGTATATGAGCTCGGAAAACGCCTGATGTAGGCTGCAGGAAGTCCTGCCAAGTCTACTGCGGCTCGCCTGATCGGTACTTGCTAAGCAAGGGTGTGGCCGCACTTCTGACTCTTCGCCCCATTTCCATTGTCGATTAGAAAACGGACTGATTCTGTAAGTGCGGATTACTACCGAAGACGTGGTGGTATATGTATAGCCGGGTATGTCGAGTGGTAGGAACGTTCCTTCGACACGTGGAATGAGCAGTCAGGATGGGAAGAAAGTGTATTGTTGTGCCGCTGCCGTGCCCGTGCACCCAACGCGTCTGTCCGGCTAGTGCGCGCCCCCACCACCACCTTCACGGGTACGCGGCACGTTTTAGATTCTTGCTGAACAGGAATTTCTATTGCATTGTTTAGTGACGTGGCTAAAAGCTGTCCACAGCGTGAGAACGGTGGACAGGCCGCCGTCAGGCAACTGCAGACAGCGCGGAATAGTGCCGGGGCAGTGCTGGGGCGGTGCCCAGGAATAAGGAACACGGCTTCTCGAAGCCTGCTGCCGTACGCCACAGCTGTCGTCGGAAGTCAGTCTGTGAGGGGAATGACGTCAAACCCATACAATATTACGTACAGTAGTAGCTCACAGCGACATCTGAGCTAAGATACGCTAGAGCATTCCGACGCGCTAGGACGCGTTTCGCCATCTTTGCCCTTGACCGGCAAAACTCCCAGACTGCATACTTCTTAGGTCAAAGCAGCTTTGAAAGCTTGGAGATACAATTTTCTTCAACTGCACTTTCTATCAGACCCTACGACTTTTACGAAAACTCTCAGAATCGCGAATAGACAGGGGGTATCGACGAAGAGTCGATTGACAGCGTTGACGAAACGGTCGACAGCATGACCAATATCGCGGCAGCCTTCTTCGGAGGCTGGTGTCCCAAGGGAGAAATGACTGCAGAACAATAATTTGTTACACACACAATTTATCTACGCCCGGCGGCCGAGCCGAAAGGGCTGCTAAAGCTAGTTTAACTTTACACTTCTGATGCTACTTCTCGGCCTCCTTAGCCTATGTATCTTCTTTAGCTCGCTTCTTTGTGTAGCTTATTATCTAAGCCAGAGCCCTTTCTCTATATCTAGAACGCTTCTTCTCTATTTCATGCACCTCGTCAGACGCTCGTAGGTTAGTATTGCCGGCGGCAGGCTAGCTTAGAGTCGGCTTCTCTAGGAGATTCTCTAAGTATTTAGCGTCCTATCTTCAGCGGCTGAAGCGTTGTCTGCTGTCTATTGCACGAGGCTGTAGACAAGTTTATGTTAGTATCTGAGGTTTACCTAGTAACTCGTTAGATATTAGTTTGCCTTGAGTGTTCGTGTTGCTATTGCAAACCGTATCGTCGCTCGCACTGCGTCTATATCTTGCGCCTATTTGGCGTTGTCTGTCGCTGCTTTGCCACCTAGGTAGAACGGCAAGTTTCCTCTGCTTGACTGCGTACACTGCAGCATTTCTGTTCGCTGTGGTCCACTTTCTGCAACGGAATAGAAAGTGCTCCACCGTCTCTGCCGCCTGTCCGCATTCGCAATAGTCTGTCGTCAAGGCTTTAATTCAGTGTCGATACGTGTTTAGCTGCGCTATGCCTGTTCTAAGCTAGACAAACACGCTGCTCTCTTTACGCGAAAGCCTATTATAGAGTTGTCGAGTGTGCTTTCCTAGCAGTGCTGTGTCGATTCGTTTAGAGTATGCTCCTACGTCTGCTAGCACCTTCTTAGCTATGCCTTGCTTACGTGCAATATTATGCGTAGTTAATCGCATCCTAGGGAGCTGTGTCTGTAGCCTAGCATTTAGTCTAGTTGCTATCTTCGCCTCTTAATTAGCGAGGCTAGCGAGCTTACACTCTTCGCTTGCGGGTAGCTATAGCACTGTTACTATGTTGCCGTCTCTTCTTAGCGTCTGTACAGTCTTATAGAACTAGCTAATATAGCTTTGCCTAGACTGCTGCTGCGGTCTTCTAAGTGTGAGCACAGAAGCTTTATTCCTTGTTATTAGTACAATGTTGCGAAACCTCAGCTTCGGCAGCCTGCTCAGCGCCTCGGCTATTGCTGCGAGCTCTGCCGCATAAGGATTCTGTTCCTCTCTCCTGCCCAATGTAACGGAGAAAGATTGTTTTTCGTTATTCTGTATGCTAATCGCGCCTCCTATTCTGACTACTCCGTTCCGCGCTGAGCTGCTTACAGCGATGCGTACCGCCCAGTTCGCCTCGAGCCCCTGTACCGCGTTCTCGACTACGATCTGCACTCTCTTCTCCTATAGTGCTAGGATGCACAGACAGGTCGTCTCTATCTGCTCTATGTCTATATCCTTAAGCGCTTCTGCTACTTAGAATAGCGGCGAGCGGTACTGTCTTCTAAACTTTCGCATCCTTGATGTGTTTCTTCGCAGTAGGTTGGTCTCCGGTAGCGCGTAGATGTCTGTCCACAGCTTGACTGCCCGCTTCTAGAACCGCTCTTGTGCACTTGGGATGTGCGCCTCTGCCTCTGCCACCTATGTCGCCACTGTGGGTGAGAGCCCTCTCAGCCTCCTGAGTTCCAGTGCTGCTTCTAGTCCCTTCGCAGCTGCTCTTGCGATGTGCTTGTAGTACTTAAGCCTAGCGTCTATAAGCACGCTAAGTATTTTAACGTTGTCCTTAGGCGAAACGCTCTGCCCCTTAATAACGAAGGACTCCGTGGCACTTTTATACGCCTTGCGAGTAAAGTGGATAACAGCTGTCTTTTCTGCTTTAAACGTCGCTCCGCTTCTCTGTTCCTAGTCTAGTGCGTCTCAGATAATGGCGTTGATACCCTCTCTATTGCTTTGCGCCGTCGGGCCTGTGACTCACGCAGTGAAGTCATCAACGAACGCGATCGCGCCTCCGTACGTGTCGATGCGATTGTCGCACCATGACTCATCCACGTAGACGAGGTGGTGCGACTAGGAGGCGGAGAGGTTGTGGAGGTAGTAGTCCCGGAGGTTAGCATTTCGCTCTTTAGCAATCTAGCGGGTGGCTTTCTTAGTCTAGCCTATAGATGCTAGGGCACGGCTTACTGCAGAGTTGTTTACAAGTATCTAGAATTTATCGTACAGAAACAGGGCTATCTCGTCTTAGTACATGCCTACCCCTATTAAAAGGTGCCCTAGAGGATCTGAAGCAGCGGAGGTTAGACTAGATATTGCAAATCGTGCGGTCGCTGCAATTAGCTGCAGCTGCTATATTGATTGCCTTAAGAGACTTACTAGAGATTATATCTCTTATTATGTCGTGCTGCGATGCTGCAAGCCTAGGCGCTATAGCGAGGATGTGTACAGCACTGTAGTTGCAGAGAGTATTGCGTCTTGCGGCGTACAACGTAAGGTCGCGACAGCCTTAGCAGAATAGAAGAACATTAAAGCTTTAGCATGCGAGCGCTAGCGTAGCGTACATTGCAACACAACAATTGCATCTATAAAACCCCGCAACATTAGACGTTTGTAGGTAGATCTAGCGCGCAACATCTTAACTTACTTTCCTCTACTAACTATGCATGCATGTATGCCTGCCGCTGCTACAGCTGCAGGCTAGCAACCGCGCGCTATTACAGCCGGACGCGTTAGGGGCGGAGACGCTGCGCCGTAATGCTAGCTCGAGGCCACCGCCAGCATGTAGAACAGATACCACGCCTCGTCCCACAACAACTCAACATTAGTACTCCTCCTCCTCCTACTATCTAACGCGCCCACACTATGCCTAGTAGCGACCTGCCCCTGCTCGCCCTTAATAGCAGCAGCGTCTGCAGCTTATCTGCCCTAATAATCCTTAAGGAGCTAATAGAGGCTGTTAACCCTAACGCGCTGCTAAAGCTATGCAACTACTTTAACATAATTAGAGGTATAAGCATAGGCAGGTAAGTAAATAGTTAAGAGAAATACTGTAAGCTATACTAACATGCTAGGCTAATCGCTATTATGCTTAGTTAGCTAATAATAAGCGTAGGTAACTGCATCGCTGCGTACCTAGAGCTCTCTAACTGCGTATTTCGCAAGACGCGACACTAAGTGACAGTTAAGAGCTAAGTGCAGGGCCGCTTTAACGCAGAGGAACTAGCGCGGGCAGTAAGAGAGGTAGTTGTAAAGCAAGGTGTTGCGTCTTAGAGCATAGGAATGACAAGGAGATAAATCATTGATTGAAGCAAAGCTCTGAAGAGCATTGCTTTTATATAGAGAGCACTGCTAGTGTGCTCTCTTCTAGTCTAGTGATTACAGGGTACAGAGCATCAAAGCTCTCTTCGCTGTGTGCGTTTTGTCACACATTACCTCACGGATTACCGCTTTAAGTCTACCTCGCCTTAGTACGGACCGAGCCTAGAGAAGTATAGCCTAACCCCGTGTAACACTGCGGACCTCTGTTGTAGTTTTGGACAATTAAGTTCTAAAGTAGATTGCTTCGCTCGCAAGCTCGCTTCGCAATTACTGCTGCTGGAGGATCGTTAGGCGGCGTTACCTCTCCTTTGGCATTACAGAAGCTGTTTCTAAGGGTCGGTTTCGCATGGACTACGCGTGCAGTTGGTTTTGTCTACGTCGCATGCTGCATCACCGCGGGCCTTCTCATCAAATCCCGACTTCCTCTGAAGCAGCAGTCTGTACTGCCTAATTTCCGCATTCTTCGCAACAAGTCCTACGCTCTACTGATAGCTGCTACCTTCTTGACGGAATGGGCGCTCTTTGTTCCCATCACATACCTGGCAAGCTTTGCTTACTCCAGCAGAGCTATGACGCAGGCGTTTTCATACCAGCTGATTGCCGTCTTCAATGCTGGTAGTTGTGTTGGAAGATGGGTACCAGGCCTCCCAGCAGACAGGCTGGGTCGATTCAACTGTATGATTGAAGCCCTTGCAGTTTGAGGAGTGACATCTTTAGTCTTCTAGCTTCCAGCTGCGACGCTCGTGCCTGCAGCAGACGACATGCCCGCCACAGCCAGCACGGCCTTGACGATCAAAGCCCCGTCAATTGTATACGCTGTTGTTTTTGGTTTCGCATGAGGATCAAACATCTCATTAACGCCTGTGTGCGTTGGACGGCTGTGCGACAATAGCCAATACGGACGATATTATGCGACTTGTTATACTATAGTGTCTTTCAGCACTCTTACGGGTGTTCTAATCGCTGGTAATGTTTTTGAAAAGACTCCTGGCTGCAGATACTGGGGCGTGGTCATCTGCACCACAGCTTGCTACATTGCCGCGTCATTCCTTTTCATGTGGAGTCGCGCCCAGCACGTGGGCTGGAAGCTACGGAAGTTTTAGAGAATGGATCTAGCTTTAGTCCGATTTCGACCTTTGTGCACATCCAAGTTGCTCGACGATCGTCTGCCAAGTGTGCCTCGTATCGCGATCAAGACATGCCAACACGTCGGTCGAGGGATGATCGCATTACCAAGGCGGAGGCAAAACGCGACTCAGGGTACGGTATGAGCTGAATTCTTCTCAATTTCTTCCACCTCCTTTGCAGCATGAACGTTTGGAGAATCCTGTCGCTCTGCTGTACGGTCAGCAGCCGTGCTATGCCTCCCGGTGACCGCCTGTCATCTGCAGATCCATCCTCCTTTCTTATCCTCTTAGTTGCATCGATGCTTGTCGAACCATTCGTTGTTGTGCTCAGTAGGACGAAACCTGTATCTGTATTGAGGGCATCTCGACCAAAGATACAACGCTTTCGCCGCAACGAGCTGAGATGCACTCACCCGAGCAGCCAAGAGTGCGGCATTTCGCGATGGCTCTGCTGTCTGGTGAAGCTAGTCAATACAATGTGAAGCAGACAAAAGAGCACTAGTTAGTCTAGCTCGGTGCCTTCTTTCTATCCCAGCCCAAGTATCGCTCTGTTAAGCTCGGCTATATAATCTTCGGCCACCCCACCCCAAGCAGCCACTCAGTATTGAACCGCGACTTTTGTTAACAACAACAATTATTTTTGCCACTCGGTACACATGGAGTTAAAAGTAAGTGTTAATGCTGCTTCTGCTGCCTTTAAGTATTGTTTTCTAATAAAGTTGTTGCCTGTTAAGCCTAGAGAGCTGCTGCTTAATTAATAGCAGCTTTAATACTCTTAATGTTGCTAAATCGCTTGTTTAGATTAACTTTAATTCGCTTTCTTAAGCGTGTAACTGTAGTACTATCCATGTCTGTAGTATTAATATACTAGCTATCTCTTACTATTCTTTATAACGTAAAGCAAGTAATATCGCCTTTAATTACCCCCTTACACTACCCTGCTCTTCTGTAAGTAAAGTCTGCCTTGTATATTATAGCTCATTTTATAACGTTAGTTATAACCTTTATCTAATACTATAAACGCGCTGATAAGATCAACTCGAGTCCAGTTCTTTCCTATCCTACTTATCTCATACCATGGGCAAGATACTCCTGAGTATCCGAGTAAGTTTCCGACCCGTTGTAGAACCATGGCTCGTCCGGCATCTCATTTTCTTCTTTGGAAATCAGGAGACGATGGCCCTTATAGTCCAGCCGATGGCCCGGATAGATAAAGCATCGCCAAATGTAGATTAACATGTTCGAGATCTCCAAGCTCGGCGCAATGTGAGGTGCGATGAGCTCCTGATGCTTCTGCGGCAGGGTGGACCAGTGCAGCCCGGGGTGCAGATGATGAACCGTGTGGAATCCGTTGTTAAAGCAGAAGTAATTAAGCGTCCGACCAGTGAAATTGCGCGCGAAGTTGTACTTGGAGCTCATATCGCACCCGTCGTGTTGAAGGAAATTCAATGACAGGATGCAGTATTTGGCGTAAAATTGCGGCAGCAGCGCGAACCAGATCCATCGACGCCAATCTAGTAGAACAAGCACTACTGTCGCGCTCCAGACTGCAACCTCTTCTATCCGGCGCTGCTTTGCAATAGGTCGGTTGAGACGGGCTTGGGCCTCGAAATACAGCTTGTCATCCTTGTTTCCCGAGAGAACAACGTGCCAAAAGAAGAGTAGTCCGTTCAACAGGTTCCAGTTATATCTAACTTTGGTAGTACGCACTATTAGATAAAATAGAGGATTAGCCATGTGGAAGGCGTGGAAATTGAGTCTTCAATGCCGCTGTTTTCACTACATGGATGTTGGCTTGGCAAGGCAGAAAAGACCGGAAAAGAAACAGCGAAGGACTTACTAACGTCTCTCGCTTGTTGGGGATACTTGTGGTGAGACAAGTTGTGACCTGGTATGAAGATGGACACAGCGCCACCATACTGGAGAGACAAGCAAATCTGGTAGAAGTTGTTCCACTCCTTGTGCCAAAAGATAGGCAAGTGAATAGCATTGTGCGTTGTAACAGCGCCCATGAAGGAAAGCTGGAACAATGCGAGCCATGCTACGAATGGAAGTAAACCACCTGTGAATGGCGACGTGGAAGTTTGCCAAGTGATGACGAAGACGGCGAAAAATAGTGCCGTGGATATGACACACCGAATGTCCTCATCATGCCTCATCAGCGACTTGCTGCGGGACGGAAATGGCGATGACGGATGTGGGGGCGCCTGAATCGATCGTATGCCTGCCTTCGTTCCCATTTGGCTGGGAAGAACCGGGATGGTCGTTGCGTGTGAGAATGGTGACTGAGTCTGCCTGTGAGGTTTAAAAGCTGGAGAATTCTGCGCTCTGAACCTGGATAACCAGTGCGTTGCTGCAGCCGGGCCGATTCTTTTGTCCGCGTGTTGAAGGATGCGGACGGTTTTACACTTGCATTGATATCGTTAGGCATGCTAGGATGTTATGCGCAAGCAGGGATGGCTGCCGCGTATTACGAGAGACCGAGTAGCGAATAAGGAAGTCTCGTATCAATTGCGATGTGGACCGTGCCAAAGCAAGCTATATACGACTACGAATACGCAGATAGTCGTTTGATTGAAACTTGCGTGTGAGACTAGCATAGGAACTTCTGCTAGAACTCCGACCCTTAAAGAAGAAGTGTGTCACGGTGATCCACCGTGGTTACCGTAACACTGATGGTACCATAGGATCCGGGTGCTCCGCCTAGCACCCAGATTCTGTTAATTCGCTCGCTAAGCCGTAGCGCTACGCGCACGGTTCCTCACCCGTAAGCCCTCACCGCCTGTTTCTACTGTCTGTTTCTTTACGCAATGTCTTGTATTGCACTAGTTATTGTACGGAATTTTAATACACGTAGGGGTTTTGCTAGGAAATCTCATTATATATAAAGATTGTCCTACAAGATGTTTTACTCACAGGCTAATTTTCAAGAGATTCTGCCGCAAAGTTCCTAATTCTAATATACTTAGCTGTGCCCTGATTGTAGACACCACCCGGATTCGACTGCATCGCAAACATGACAGTATGCACGTCTTGCGCATTTGTAACACCGGATCCACCAATCCTTCTCCAATCATTTGCTCCTAGGCTAGAAGATGTCCTGGTGAAGTAATTGTTGGTTCCGGGATTTACACACTGGTTGTCGATGTACAACCAAGCTTGCATGTTACGAACTTGATTGGGATTGCTGCCCTGCGTCACCTTGACCCCGAGAGCGCAGTTGAGATTGCTACCAGCTGGGATGTACACCTTTTGAAGCTTGTATATCCAGGCCAGACCTGGTGGAGAACTGCGGTCGAAGGTGCTGTAAAGCGTGTGTGACCCGTCGAGCGGCGTGAATGGCGCAGAAGCAGCAGAAAGCACCTGATTTTTCTGTACGCCGAATTCAAGGCAAATCCGGCCGGTATCCAAGGGGCGATAGCACTACTCTCAAAGGAAGGGTTGTACGTCGCGGCGAGCGTGTTGTAGGTCGCAAGTGCCGACGTGGTGGATGTCCCAACAATGGAACTCACCGCGGACGAGGAAGCTGTAGTCTCTAGGAAGAGTGATAATGTTTCGATCACTGAGTTTGATGTATATTCTTCGGCTGTAGTGGTCGTAAGCTCAGATGATGAGATGGACTCCGGCGATGGCGAAGTGCTAATTACGGGAGCGGCAGTCGAAAAGATGATCTCGGTATCGCTTGTTAGGTCTGGAGGTCAGTGGTTGATGGTGTGGGCGTGGCGGTCGGCTCGACGCGCGTCTCAAGCACGGTAGACAATGCGATCGAAAATACAGTGTCGACTTCTGCGGAAGTGACCTCTGATGTAGCGAGCGGCGCTGTAGCCGTGCTTGAAAGCTCAGTGATAGTGGTAGGCGATTCTGATAGGCTAGCTGATGCGCTGAGAAAGCGAACGACAGGGTTTGTGGACGCAGTGATCTCTAACGTTGCTAGCGAGATTGGAACCTCGCTAGAAGCAGAAACGATCTCCGGGGCTGCTACTGACGCTGAAGTAACCTCCAGCGACGACAAGATTCCCACATTCATAGCCAATGCGCTTGTGCTTGTTACGAGCGTACTTGTGTACGGGTCTTCGACCGACGCAACTGTAGATGAAGAAGATGGAACAGGGTCGGTGAGCAATGTGCTCATAGGCTGAGACGAGGTAGCGGACACGACGTGATTCTTGACGACGAGACAGGTGATGAGACTACGGGTATGTTCATCGTTGACAGCGCACTTGATGGCGCAACTGGGGCCTTCGCGGGCGTGGATGATGGGGACAAAGATGCGGGCTTGCGATTGCCGAACCCTGGCTGACAGCCGCTGCCGCAGTAGGCATCGGTGCTTTTACTGTGTTGCATGAGTACACAAAAGCACGTAACGGAACGATCGATCGCCGAAAATACCCGTCTGAGTATTGATTGCAGCAATTGCTCCATTTGGACCGGCACAAGTTATTCCAGGAGGTGACGCTTTGTGGGCATTGCCGCATCGCGCACTAGTAGAGACTTTTTGGACACCTGGTTTTGGTGGCGGGTGACGAAGCGGTGGCAGTAGCACGTATTGGCGTCGACTTTGAATGCGCGATCGCAGGAGAGGCGACAGATGTGCTTGAGCAGGAACCAAAAGCAAGGTTGCATCCTGAGCCGCAGTATCCGTATCTGTAGGTGAGTCGTGATTAGCAGGCTGTCTCAACGATATTCCACATTGCAGTCATGTTAGAGACGTTGAACGTTGAGACGTGAATCACACCTATTGCATCCTGTCGTGTAGGTAGCAGTACAATAACAGCAGCCTACAACGATGCAGGGACTATAGAAGCTTCTGGCATCACTAAAAGGGTTATAATTGAGATCTCTGACAACTACGAGGTCCACCGTGGCACAGTAATGGTCTGAATGAAATACCCAGAGCTGACCCGGAATGTTTTATTCGCTGTCAATGATATGAGTTATGAGCGGACGAGTGCGCTTAGTACAATCTTAGCGATGACCGTGCTAGATTGCAACCTTGTCTTCACTGACACACGACGTGAACATATATGATGCCTAAAACCTGCGACAACAACTGAAACAACATTGTGACAGCTGTACGACATTCCCAAGTCCAGATCAAGAAGTTTTCCGAGCTGTGATACTTGCTCAGATGTAAGTAAAGTAAGGTGCAACAGGTAGTGGAGGTGATAAGCAGTCCGGGCAAGGTTGAGAATCGATCGAAGAGAGCTGGCATTGTGGGTCAAAGATGGAAGTCATGGGACGGTACGATAGAATCCTTTCCCAGGAGACGATATCAAGACAACACGTAGAGGAGGACACGGTGGCTCTTTGCAGGTTGAAGTATGTTGGTCATGGAATGATGCAGCCTGGTTGTGTGGTTGAGAAGTCTGCGATAGACACCGCCGACATGACGCCCGCATCGCGTCACAACGCCTGAGGTGGGGCTGTAATTCTGCGCGCATGCTCACTCAATGCTGTTCCCTGGTCGAGACGATCAGTTGATTGACTTTGTCGTCCATCACGCTGTCGAAATCTCAGTAGGCGTGGATACAGCATGAATGGACCATTGCTCAAGGTCTTTCAGAACGATCTCGCTACGAGAAAAGGCAGCGCGCGAGGCTGAGACGATGCATGCAAAGCGTATAAGATAAGGAATCAGCTCGTTAGGAGCAAATGGCAGTTGCTACGATATGCGTACCTGGGTAGAGCCAATGGGACGTGACATGGCGACCAAACCGCCTGATCGCGCGTCACCCCGCTCTACGCAGAACAAGAACCACTGCGCTCGCCGTCTTCGGCCTGCTCAGCCGAACAACCTCGCTCGAGGAGATGTATCGCGATATGCTACCGTCGATACTTGCAGACATAGCAGGGTTCATGGTGCGTTCGCCGACAGCCTTCTCGTACAACCGAGATGGAGGCACTGCTTGACGTTCCCGGAATAGCGACAACTCGATCAATCAGAGGACGTGCCCGGAATGACTGTCTTGGACCTGGAAACGAGAAGTCATCGTTCGACAACAATCTGATACGCATTTTGGCTGCGCGTGCAGCCAAGTGTTGTGAATAGCCACTGAAGTAAATGAACGCTCGAGCTGGTCAGCCTCAGCTGCCGACCCCACCATAGCTGAAGCTGGACCGCTTTACCCTACCTCGTGACCATGTCAAGCTTGAAATTATACCGAAATGCAGTGCACTCTTTGTTGCCAGCTCGTCTCAACCAGATATCTTGGTCGCCAATACTCCTATGAACTGCACAAAGATAAGGTCCATGGTCTCACACCAAGAGCCCCACAAGTAGCTTGCAAGCACTCAAAACATCAGATCGTTCTTCGCAACCAGCTACTAATCGAAGCTACGCACAATGTCGTCCAACACATATCACGATCTCCAATCCTCTCATCGGACAGAGTCCCCCAAGCTGGCTGCCTCTCATCCCAAGCGCTGCGTCCACAAGAAATTACGGCAAACTGATGCCATTCGCGTCCTCGAGCTTTTACCAGGAATGCCCGGCGCAGTCTTATCATGTCGATTGCTCGAAACAGACCGATCGATGTCTGATGGCGAGTACGAAGCTCTCTCGTACGTCTGAGGTAATCCCGTTCCTGCATGTCATCTGCGCGATGCGGAGAGCGACAGTGTATTATCTATCACGAAGAACTTATGTCTCGCGCTCCAAGCCCTACGCTACCCGGACCGGAGGCGAATTCTCTGTGTGGATGCAGTCTGCATCAACCAGTCGGACAACGACGAAAAAAGCCACCAAGTCAAGAACATGGACTCGGTCTATACGAATACAAGTATGGTCATCATGTGGTTGGACAATGGGAAGTTTCACAAAGCTGTTCAACACTTGCATTGGCTTGAGGAATCTTCTGAAATTGATTTCTCGATGGCACATCCTGAGCCTGCTGACTTTGTCGACAGCATTGTCGCTGCAATCATCGTAATTGTTAGCAGCGAATGGTTTACTAGGCTATGAGTGATACAATGGTTCATCCTTGCTGCCAATGTGCAGATCTGGGCCGGTGATCAGCATATCAATTACAAGACATTAGAAAGCGCGATAAACAAGCTCTGCTCACGAATTGTCAAATGAAAACCCAATCTTGCACTCATCAGCGCCGAATCCAGCGTGAAAGGAGGTATGTCCTTAGACAGTTACCGCTCAGCTGTAGTTCTCATGGATTGCCGTACGAGATGGCATCGTCAACCAGGTTTCGACCTACCACAGTTGTTGTTGTACGACTGTTGTTGCATGATCCATGATCATCCTCCCAATTGTACCAACAAACGGGACTCAATCTAAGGTCTACTTGGACTAGTTAGGTAAAGCACAAGGATCATGCCTAACTATTATTTTGCCGTCATGGGTGTCTTTTTGGAGTTCACCTGGTCGGTACTTTTAAACGGAGATATGGACATATTACGACGCGCAGTGTTCTTAGGAGACGACCCGTCACAGCCTTCATTCGTTTTCAAGCCAGTATTTAAGTCCGGGGCAAGAAAGTATGTGCTAGGACGAGATCTGCCGGGAGATACCGAGGAGCTTCTGTTGAGATAGTCAGACCCGAGACTGTCCGAGTTCGAGGGGTGGCGATCGATCGTATAAGCCGCTGTTGGACGATTTGTCCCATAAGATCAACAGAGACACAGTCTCAGAAAGATTCAATGGTAGATAGACAGGAAATCTTCGAAGACCTCTGGACCCACGACGACTGTTTTGAAGGTCCGACCAGCCTTCCTAAGAGTTCTGAGGGCCTCATACCGGATAGAGATCCAAGCACAAATTTGGTGAAAATCTATCACTCTGTCCAAACATGTTTTGCGCGGCTCATTGAAGGAGGACTGAAAAGGGAGGAATCTACACGAGAGGAAATTCGGTATCGATTTTGGCAAACGGTCATTGCGCACCAGTACCATACACCGCCAGCTATGCCGAAGGATTCCGGCAATGTGCGAATTTATGCCATCTACAGCACTCATTGTCCCGAATTGTTCATCGCCCATAAAGGCTATCTATCAAAGTCGGGCAAAGAAGCTAGAGTTGGTGATGTGTTTGTCATTTTCGATGGCAGTGATGTACCATTCGTGATACGAGAGACACTGAGTGATGATGATGTACGCTGGAAGCTAGCTGGTGAATGCTACTTGTGTGGTTGGATGGATGGGAGCTACTCCGATCACCGGATTGTAGATGACGTAGACGATGGCCTTGCCACGGCAGACACGAAGCCAAACGCGGACTTCTCATACAAGAAGGAAACGCTACTCAGCGAGTATTTCGTACTCTGCTGAAGCCGACGAGAAATCATCTCCAAGACAGGGGCTCTTAAGTGCAAGCCTTCCACTGTTTTTAAGATCGCTTACCTACCTGTCATGAGCGCAATGTTCTCAAACATGAGCAGGGCACACATTGATCTCTCTTCCGAATCGCGCTGTATGTAGTCTGCTCGCACGGCGTCTGTCCTAGCATATATTCAACTTATTCAATCAAAAGGTCGATCACATTCATGCATGTGCTTCCGCGGACCCTTCCGTATGTCGGTGAGGATTGTCGTCCGCGGCAAAGCTCCCCTATTCCCCGCGTTCGTGCCCCACCACCGCTTCCTTGGCCTCCACTCGTTTTTGTATCCACTCAAGATGCAATGCGCGGGGTCGTGCATGTGCATACAGCTTAGCGATTTGCTATCGCTTTTGCTTGATTTGACCTTCGCCCCACGCGACGATAGAACGACATGACTGCTTCCACCTCTTCTTTGCGATTTACACCACAATCACGTTTCCGACACCAGTATCAGATAGTTCCCTTCAAGGACGACAACATGGGTGTGACCCACTCTCCTGAAGTTTCTGCGGTAAATGAGCGCGATGAAGCGCTTGATGGTGCGCAAAGTCGCGAGCGCTTATCGTGGAGGAAGCAGGCCGTCATTGATCTAAAGCCTTCATGGCATCGCGATACGTAGGGACAAACAGCTCAGTTTCTCCCCAATACATGTACTGACTGTATACAGGTACGTCGGAGCACTTCTGTTCAACACCTGCACTTTCATCTTGCCAGCCCTCTACGGCACCTTGTCGAAGCTATGGGTTGCCAATATCGACTCTTCAATGGTTGTCACAACCGACACGTATACGTACATCGGCGTAGTAGCAGAAGTCTTGAACGAAGGGTTACCGCGCGCTTCGTATCTCGTCATCGGCGACAAGGCCAGTCGTGGCTTCCGTGAGCGACTGCAGCTCACCCATACCCTCATCCTCTTCCAGTCACTCCTCGGGCTTATAATGAGCATTGGCTTCGTCGCAGGCGCTTCTACATTCGCAAAAGGTTTCGTGCCTGTCGAAGTGAGAGACGTGAGTGTTACATACGTTCGCATCTCTGCGTTCTCTGCATTCAGCTCGGCAGTCGAGTATGCGGTCAGCGCTTCAACCCGCGCGCTCGACAAGCCCGATGTTCCACTCATCATAAACTCGGTAAAGTTCGCAGTCAACATCATTCTCGACTTGATCATCATCTCCAAGTTCCACGTCGGAAGCATCACACCTACGGTAAACATGCAGGCTGGCATCTCACTGGCTTGCAACCTCACTTCTGCGTTTGCGGGACTGGTGTACTTTGTCTACACAACGACCGTGAGCTCCAAATCTCCACTTCATCACGATACATCCAGCCGGAAAACGATCCCGTCGTTACCAGCATTAGTCACACTTGCAAGGCCAGGAGCGATCTTCTTCACTGAATCCGCCATCCGTAATGCGCTATACCTCTGGCTGGTGCATGGTATTGTCGGTTTGGGCAGCGATTACGCAACTGCTTGGGGCGTCTTTTCGACTATTCGGTGGGGTCTGATCATGGTACCAGTTATGGCACTCGAAGCCACAACCCTGACCTTTGTTGGCCACTCATGGGGAGCTTTGCGTGCAACTATCGTGGGTGTCTCACGGTCCGCAAAGTCACAGGTTACACGACGGCAACTATGGGACGTGACCCGCTGGGCTCTCTACTCCGTCGTCATCGTATTGATGGTTGAGATCCCACTCTGTCTCATCATGTCCTTTGCTGGTGCCGAGCCTTTTGCACGATACCTCTCGGGTTCCGAAGAGGTCGCCCGTATAACCGCTCGCATGTGGCGCACCATCGACTGGTGTTACATTATGTACGGTGTGTCGACACAGCTAGCTGCGGTTCTGGTATCGACACGCCCGACCTGGTATCTCTACCAATCTCTTGCATCGAATATACTATACGTCTTGCCATGGGCGATCGCATGTCAAGTGGTTGATCTAAATGTAGGAGATGCCTGGACATATCACAGTCTGGTGTTTGGTGGAAGTCTGGTTTTCTCGTTCTTCACCATCATTGTAGTCGATGGTGTTTGGGCGCTTCGGCTGTTGAAGGGAAGGATGGGTGTCAATAAGACGTAGTGGTAGCAATAACGTATGACACAGTAGTTCGCTCGAGATAGCTACTAGATCAGCTTGATTCTGCATATTTCTAACTGCGACGATGCGTTTCGACTACCAATGTCCTCTGTGCATTATGTCTTCGCCAAATTGATACTTAGATGAGGCCCTGTTGCGACATTGAATTCTACGCGATGAGCTGAAAGTCGTGATAGGAAAGCCATACACTCTTTCAAGCCCGTTGTGATATTGACTATGAGGATGTACGAGATCTAGATTGTAGGACCCGTACAATGTTCGCGGAGCCGCCGAAGATTAGCGTCGTTTAGGCAAGGCTGCGCGCCACAGGGGTGAGCTTAACGATAAAAGAAACAATTCGCAGAGAGTGTCAATCTCCACGAGATACAATGGGCCAAGGAAGAACGTCAGTGCTCTAGTGAACCCCTCAAATCGCGCAATAACTTTCTAATACACATTAAGCTCGTTCTACATTTGCGTAATCTTGACCGTTCTCATAATCCCTTTGTGGCCTGCTGCACCTCCGTCAGCCGACCCGCTGTCTTTGTCCTGCTCCCACTCCTTATTCAATTCGATCGTGCTCCCACTCGGACTCGACCCATCGCCACCGACAACATGAACAGTGTGGTGTTTTGAATCATGACTGCTGAGCTGAATATCAGTTTCGGTATGCCGACTGGCATGTTCCCGGTACCCAGAACGAGACGGGTGGCCCGAATTCCACATGCGCGAGTGTTTGCGCGAGGTGCTATCATGCGTCGACATGTCGCCAAAGACTTGGCGGAGCAAAGGGCGGAGAGTCGCGGCGGCGGAGGTGGCAAGGCCGATTCCGGTCTCGCATGTGGACCAGATTGCGACGTCGATCGTAGAGTAGAGGAAATCGGGTATGTCGTTGAGACCGTTGATGAACGGAATGCGGACGACTGTTGCAGTAGAGCCGCTAGTGTCGAGTTAGCATGCGATGCAAGGAACACACTAAAGGTGGAAGAAGCTTACATAGCGCAGAAAGCAAGGACGACAGCCACAGTCATCTTCTTCTTCTTGTTCATCTGCAACTTGTGCACGATAAAGATTGGAACGATACTAAACGTCCAATCCGTGGCACAGGACAACGCAGAGTAGCCGTAGAACGAGTTCACAACGACTTTAGAGGGGATGCACTGGCCTTTGCCGCCACGGAACTGCTCCCAGAAGAACGAGACAGGCCAGCATTGGAAGGTAAAGATGAAGAAGAAGTACACGCTGTAGAGTTGGATGGCGATCAGGGCGGTCCAAAGAATGATGCGATGAGTTCTGTCAACGGCAATACGCAGCAGGAAGATGCCGATGCTGCACTTTAGGAAGAAGTTCGTAACAACGTAAGTAGGCTCGCAAGTCCACCACCACTGATTCAGATTGTTAGCCTCATGGAATATGCTTTAGACGTGGTACTACACACCTTCATGCCTACGGGATACTTTTCGTCCGGAATGAGATATCGTCGCTTGCCGGTTCCATTTTGGATACCCAGCAGTGCGGAGGTACAAAAGACTAAGAAGGATACCAGGGTAAGGACAGAGAAGTAGTCATCGGCTGCGAAGTTCTTCACGATAACCAGCTTGCAGTAGCATCGAAGCAGTACCAGCAGGGTGCAGATACAGATGAAGAAGCCCAAGACGCCGGTGAATTCTCCGGATCGATCTTCTCGCGCCATGGTTGTCAGCAGGATAGTAGTGTCGAAGACGGCCCAACTCGAAATCCATCATGCCGGGGAGACGGCTATGTAGTCTGTCAAACTTTCTGCGTGTCCATTGCCATAGGGGTGGACATGACTCCGGGACGGGCGCCATGTCATGCAGGGGCAGGCTGAAAGCCTGTGTGCGGGAAGGATTTTCCGCAAGGCGGGCAACAAGCGAGCGAAATGATCCTCGGATCCTCAATCCGTCTCCACAGCGGTTGAGCCCTGACTCGAAGATTGGGGGCCTGACAGGATGCCACTTGATTCTATCTATGATTAATGCGATTGGGGACCCGCAAAATGCCTACTAGACTGAGAACTGGGCAGATTTCCCGGGATAGTGGTTGTAAGTGATTCTCGTCGTCTCGGTCATCTCCTTGTGGCGGCTCTAGATCCGTGCAGCCACACCAAAACCAGTCGCTTGAGCCGCATCTGTTGAGAATTCTTCAACGTCAAGCAGGCTGGATCAGTCGCAATCGTCCCGTTGTGCTCGCCACTCTTTCTTTTTTTCTTCTAATGTCGCTACGGCATGTATGCGCTGCTCACGAGCGTGCGACGCGCTTCCCCGTTGTCATACGCAATCGCGAAGACGTGCGAATGTCATGGTACAGTACTAGGTCAAAAGTTGTAGTTTTAGCGACGCTTGCGGCTTATTCCGCTGTCAGTGATGTACGCCGCTTCCACGCCAGGGTAGCGTCATTCCAAGCCTGCCGGGGTGCATGGTGTAACGGTAACATTCTCATCCGGATTCTCGAATTGTCCTGAGACAGACAAGTGCGATGCGCATTCATTCTGCAGCTTTCCTTCGCTTAGCATGTTAGTCTTCAATGTCAAACAGCATGTTCCTAGCTATGCTATCTCCATCTTGTCAACACCCCACCCTTAATCTCCCGCAAAACTTACCTATCAGTTCGCAAAAGCATGTAGCGTACTACACAAGCGAGCTGCCTGTTTGCGCTAAAACCACATCCAGTTTTCGACTACACGCAATTGTACAAGTCAATCAACAACGATAACTGAAGCTCGAATTTAACTTCTCTACTCAGAATTTACTACTGACGGAAGGTTGTGAGCTGAACAAGGACCAAACGCCCACCGTACCGACCGGGCGTGGATTAAATGGGCTCACAAGCTACTGATAGCCCTCTGTCTTCGCAGCATGACTTGGCTTCGTCCCCAACTGCATGACAGGGCTATTGATGAAGTTGTCCAACCCATCGTGCGTGAAGAACGTTTGCGCCTTGGAGATCTGCACTTCGTTTGCACCGCGTTTCCAGATACTTTCGTCGTAAGCCGTGATTGCATCTTTGAGGGAAGCGCTCCCGCTCCGCACGCTCTTTAGCGCTTCGACGAAGCAATGCGCGGAGTAGAAGGCATTGTTGGCGCCTTGCCCACGATGGAAAGTCATGGCGTGCGCAGCATCACCGCATAGCGTCACTCGTCCATCTTGGTTGTCCCAAGGAACCGTTTTCCATATCTTGAGTTGATCGCGTAGCACCGTTGTGTCCTCTGGTATCCATTCGATTGCGCTCTTGTAGGGCTCCGCCCATCCGTCTCGTTGCACGTGCGCCTTGAGGCGCTTCAGCCGATCCGTCTCATTGTCGTGGTCTTCAACATACTTCAGTGGCCACGTCGACAGGATCTGGAACGTCCAAGTACTTGCGTCCTTTTCATCTGGCATATCGAGCACATTGGCACGGATATAGTGGCCTGCAGGGTGGATCGCTATATCTACGAGTGGGTGGAGGCGATCTTTGATGAAATGCGCTTGCTCAGCGGTGTACGAGGCGTTGAAGTTCATCAAAGCGAATGGGAGCGTATCCATATTGCCTTCCTTCGGTATGAGGCACCGCCGCACTTTCGACATTGCGCCATCAACGCCGATGACTATGTCGCCTTCATCGCTGGAGCCGTCTTCGAAGTGCACTCTGACTCCACCATCATCCTTCATCTCATAGTACGAGAAGCTCTTGCCATAGCTAACATTTAGTCGCTCGGCTAACAGTATGCGCAATCTTCGGATGTTGATCTCCCGTGCTTTCGGTATCGGAAATGCAAATGCTTCTTCTCGCGTTTGGCCGTTGTAGATAACGATCCGATCTTCGCCGAGTGCCTCGCAGTCGACGTACGGGTCGACTTGACATGAGTTGATCTTCTTGCTAAGCTCTTCAGGGATGAGATCGAATAGGTACGGCCGTGCCCAACCCAGGGTGAAGGCCCAATGACGATGCCGGAAAACATCAGCACCTTTGTCGTATATGCTAAAGGAAATGCCAGCTTTCTTGAGACCATGAGCGAGCGCGCAGCCGGCAGGGCCTTTGCGTGTCAGTAAGCGTCACTAGTGTTGTGGAAACGAATAAGTACCGGCGCCAATGACGATCACTTTAAGGTTTGTGTCGACGCTACCCATTGTAAGAAGTTGTGGGTTGCGATAAGAGAGCAAGATGGTGCAGAGATGAGCGAGGCATGAGCACTCTTAACATTGGCTACCAAGCTGGTACCATGCTGCAGGGCCGTTCACGCCATCCGAAGTACGTATGCTAGTGCTAGAGTGAGTGAGATGCAGTTGCAACGGAAGCGGCGGGCGCCGCCATTCGAACGGCGCTAGTGCCTGACGCCGGTTCTCCGCCTCCCCAATGCCGTGCCCAGACATTCCGCAAACACCTGCACGATGGCGACCTTCAATACCGAGACACTCAGCTTATTGCCAGGTGATGATGACGATGCGAAAGCGCGACAGAGCCTTCGGGGATATAACATCAGTGTCTCTTCGTGATATTCAAAGATACTTGACTACCAGATGCATCATGTTGATTCACTGGTTGACGTGCTTTGAAGCCCTTGTATTATACTACAGCACGTGGGACCGATTGACTGGAACCGTCTAGAATCCTAACCCCAAGCCCTCAAGTCGGGTGGAATAAAGCAAATGAGAAGCCTTGCGGGAGTGCCACAAGTTGCCTCAGAGCCAGGGTTCTCCCCCCTAACACTGCAAGATATGTCAATATCATCCATCGGTTGGTGACAGAGCCATGCACGACGGCAGAAAGGATTGAACTTACGTTGATACATATGAGCTAGATCAATCTTGTTAGCAACATATTTTCTTCTAGGGAAAGCTGGAGCTTGAGATGGAAACAATGGTCAACACTCACATTCCCGTGGATCCAACAACCACATCCATTCGCAGCACAAATCTACGTTAATCCTCCACGTCAGCCAATAGTTCCGACAAGGAAAACGAAGACGAACAATACGCCTCGCTGCCATGCAGTCAATGGCATACGTACTTTCTCTTGCTCAGAAGTGCATGCTTTTCCTGGGTCTGGCAATTGGCGCTCCAGTACATTTCCGTGGTGGTCGAACGGTGACATAGGCCCAGCGACAGCCAGGCCGATGATGACGGGAATTAGGAAGATGAATTTCATGTTGTTTTTCAAAGTGGATTAGATTCAGAATGCAGTGGGTTGAAGCAGAGTGGCTCTCTGTGCTATAAGTCGTGTTAATCTGAGGCGCCCAAATTAATGATACTAATCAGCAAATGACACGTGCGGGTATTCCTCCGTTCGACATACGAGATCCGAACTCGGACTGCAGGTAACTCAGCAAGACGATATCTTCGAACGTCATCAGGTACCATAATCCTCCCGCAAGCGTTCCGTTATACTTCAGCATCGACATTCATCCCAACCGCATGACATACAGCAGCCCGGACTATCTCCCTCACAATCTCAACTTCGTCTTCGTTCCTTGGCGCATATACCATGATCCAGCTCGGCGGTGCCAACCAAGTCACTGGAAAGCGCTGTCCCCAGCCCCTCTGCATCACCAGCTTCGCGTCTTGTGGGCTTACGTACACATGCAATGAATTCTCTGCTGGGTGTACGTGAGCTACTTCGAAGAAGATCTTGTGTGCGACGGGGTTGATGGTCTTGACATCTGGTTTGACGTAGATGGCTGAGCCAGTGCCACCCTCAGTCTTACTTGGGCCCGTCTCGATATACTTCGAGTAGGCCTTCGCATCTGCAAACTCCCGCATCAGATTGTGAAGTGTAGAGGAGGCACCGGGTGTTATCTTCTCTGGAAACTGGCGTTGGGGCAGTGTCCAGCGCGTGAGCCCGGGTCTACGGCCAACGCGATTTGGAATCTTCTGCGGTTTTATGTAGGATATCCCTGAGTCGGGGATAGGTGACGCATCTAGGAGGTTTTGGCGCGTGTATAGCAGGTAAAGTCCCCATCGCCGGATCTTGATGTAGCCTTCCAACGTGGGTGGCGTGCCTCCGGTTCCTGCGACGGTTTAGCAACCGCACTTCATGAATATGCGAAGGCTTGCGAACCGAAGCTTTGCCAGCTCTTGAAATCATACCAAAACGCTAGTCCTGCGGCTGCGATGCCAGCCAGTATGTATTGGGCACTCATCCCACTCAAGGCTTTGCGGTGGGTGGCAAAACAAAGTTGATCAGATGGAGCCTGACGAGACAGCGAAGACGTCGCTTTTCTGGACTTTGTTCCCGAATGTTCGCAGCATTCGTTCAGGATCCAAGATCGGAGGGGGTGGTCAGTAGCGTCAGCACGATGTGGGGTCGGTGAGCATCGGAAGGATGTCGCGGGCGGGAAGTCTAATTGCGCTAGAACATCGGGTCCCCTCATCATCGCCCAATCGCCCGACTCCCTCCCCGCAACACCTCCGCGACCCCATCCAGCAGCATGTCACGATGTAGGAGTTTGTCGCGCGCACCAGGCGCAAGCTACGATTCGACAGTCGCAACTCCTCTACGGCTATCATTGTCGACTTTGCGACGCACTACTCGAAGTCAGTCAAAGAGCTAGCACCTCCAGGGCGCCCGCGGTTTAAAACGCTACTATTCCCGCCAGTGCCTTGAAACATCGCCTGCAAACCTCATAAGTCAAGGCCTCCGTCTCGCAGGCCGAGCAAGATGTACACATACAAGTGCTGAAAACACAGATGGTACTTTGCAACGTTTGCGCCGCTGAAAAGAGTAAAAGTGACGCCGAGAGCTCACATCCGCGTGCTCTAGCATCTCATCCACCCACTCCAACACAGCTCCGCGGGTATCTGCAGCCATCAAAAGAGCGCGAACTCTCGATCATTGAAGAGGCCAGAGTTGAGTCACTCAAGGCCGAATCGCTCAAGACCGGACCGCCATCGCCAAGATCGCCAGAAACTGCGACCGCCCCAAAGAACCAGCCTAGAGAGCGTAAATCTCGACACTCAAAGATGTCCATTCCACCTCAACTCCAGCAGCAACTGCGCCTGCTCATCCGCGCTAACCACATCCTCCACCACCATGGCCTGGTCGACGCCTTCGGCCACATATCCGTGCGACACCCGCTCAACAAGGAGCAATACATCATCGCCGCATACGATCCCGGCGCCCCGGCGCTCGTCAAGAACATGAGCGACTTTATATCGTACTGGGTCAAGGACTCTACGCCCGTCGACCCCGACGCACCACAGGGCTACAGCGAGCGCTACATACACGGCGAGATATTGCGACGGTTCCCAAAAGTGAACTGTGTGGTGCATTCCCATTCGGAGGACGTCATTCCTTTCACTGTGGGACATGGTGCGCGGGAGCCGCATCCTGTGCGACCGGTCTTTCACATGGCTGGCTTCCTTGGCCAGGGCGGTGCTTCGGTGTTCACAATGGATAGTCTGTACGGGACGGCACGAGCGCCGTCGGAGCACGACTTGTTGATCAAGAATGCGACGCTCGGTGCAGCTTTGGCGGCGCGTTTCTCACCGGAGAACCCGGTGGTGCTGCAGCACAAGCACGGATTCACAACGTTTGGAGCGACTATTGAAGAGGCGGTGTATCGGGCGATATATACTCAGAAGAACTGTATACTGCTGCAACGCGCGATTGCTATCGCGGGAGGTGATGCGGAAGCTGTGTCGTACTTGAGCGCGCAGGAAATCAAGGATTGCGCAATTATGAACAAGAAGACGTTGGATAAGTCTTTCAGATTGTGGATAAGGGAAGTGCAGGTCAATCGGCTATATGAGAACGAAGAGGGCGAGCCGGAGAAGGGCAAGGTTGCGGGGATGAAGATGTGACCGGACGCACATTCGGTGTGTGATTGCTGGTGCATTCATCACTCTACAGAGTCTGTTGCCGTGACGCTGTATAAGGGTAGATGAGATACATCCTTACTGTTCTTCTCGTCTGGTGTTTGGCATTGAGCATTTCCAACAGACCTAATCGAGTCTCCCATATTCATAGCGATCGACAGTCAGGATTTCGTGCCAATTGAATCGCTTAGCCCATGTAACGTGGTTCGATGGCGTTTATGCATTGATGATGCGGATGCTTGGCAGCTGAAATGTCCACTCAAGAGAGCCTGCTGGGGTACCAGCTGAACATGCCGCTAAGCCCGATGTCGACTGACCGGCTCAGCCTCGCATGCGTCATGCGTCGAAGGCATCGAGTCGATTGATTCACTCGTCTTTGTGCAACTTACCGCAGCCTTTGGCCAGGTAACAATCCATTCATCTCAAGCTACATGTCCTTCGCCTCGAATCAGACGGGGAGCCATGACTGACATCGCTTCCTCATTAACAGAGCTAGGAGAACCGCACCCTGAGTGCCCGTATCTATATCAGTATGATTCCCTAGAAGGCAAACCATCACGCACGATACGATTACTCAAAGTCGGCGACGATCGCGATAACGGAGCTGACGATCCCTCGGAGCGCTGTGATGACTATCGCGAGAGCGACAGATGCAAGCACGCATGCGGTCCGATGCTCAATCCTTGGATGCTAAAGGTCAGCCTGCACGAAGCATGTTTGGATGACAGTCCCGAATATGAAGCGATCTCTTATGCCTGGGGCAGCGCAAATCTGGTGGAGCAAGTGGCTTGTAACTCTAAGTGGCTATGGGTTACTCAAAGCTGTTATGACCTACTATACGAATTGCGAAGACGAGACCGGAGTCTCAGCAGGAGAGAAGCTCAATGTTATTGGATCGATGCTATCTGCATCAATCAAGGCTTCCAGGAAGAGGATGCCCCGGAACAGAGAAGCCAGCGAGAGCGTAGCCACCAAGTCGCTATGATGGCAACTATCTATGAAAATGCCGAGCAAGTAGTTGTCTGGCCTGGGCGTATCGATCACGAACTGGAACTAAGCTTAAATAGCACCTTGACGTCTGGTAAGTTGCAGCGAAGATGAATTGGTGCTGTATGCTAACATCAAACATATAGTTTACAAAGGCGATCTACCTTCGCTGCGTTCGTTGATCCGGCAGCCATATTTCACTCGAATATGGCCCCTCCAAGAGATTGCGCTTGCTCGATGCTGTATCATGCTTTTGACTAATGCCACTAGCGTAGATATTAGATCAGTGTTTCTAATGCCGCATCCCGCATCGAGGCACTACAGAACTGCTCGAGACAACCCAGAGCTTGCGTCATTGAAACTGGAATTAGAGCGAATCACTACTCTCCATCGACAGCTACTAGGGTTCTTTCAATCACGATACGATAATTTGAATGGTAGTGCCACGCCGAGCAGATCCCCTTCAATTTCCGAAGTTCTGCTTCAAGCTCGTGATCATCAGGCGTCTGAGCCCAGGGATAAAGTCTTCGCACTCTATGGTCTGCTCCAGCGCTTACAAGCCCACTTGGAAGCTCCGAACTATCTGAGATCTGTCGGCGATGTATACTTGGAAGCCAGCACATCAGCAATCCATCAGGATCGTAGCCTCCATATATTCGAAGGCCTTACAGGGGTTTCGGGGTATGACTTACCCAGTTGGAGTCCGAATTGGTTTGATCATCAACACATTACTAGAGTGGCAGAGTGGACGGACCACAAAGCAAGTGGTTCAAGTGAAGCTCAACCTTGTATCCTCAAGCGAGAGCTCCTCATTCATGGTTTGATAGTCGATGTCGTGTATCAGGAGCACACTACTTTTGCTGCTACTTCTTTCCTGGTCAAAGCAGACAACCTAGCCGGAAGCCTAACTGAGCCCCTTCGTGATCTCAGCAACGTGCTCGAAGAACAGTACCTAGGCCTGCTTGAGAAGTTGTTTCTAGATTTATGGGGGAATTTGGATGGAAGAAGCTCGAGAGACTACTGTCATTGGAAGTGGGTACAGAATGATGCCGAGAAGAGAACCGACAAAAAAGCCGTATGCAGACTGATAGGGTATCGAATCGACAAAGAGTGTACACAGGCAATTATCAAGCACACTCCTATCTTGCATGCAAACCTTTGTCGCAGACTTGATCGCAAGAAGCTTTTCCAGACACGGGACGGACGTTTCGGCATCGCATCGAGTAGCATCAAAAGTGGCGACTCAATCGTCCTACTTCAAGGGTGCAACCTGCCTATGGTCGTTCGGCCAGATAGCAACAAGTGGAAACTAGTCGCTCCTGCGTATCTACCAGCAGACGGAATCATGGATGGAAAGTTGTGGAAGCCAGACGGTCCTTTGTCGTGTTTCTCATTCGTATAGGAAATACTATGGCGATGCGTCTCATTCGCGAGGAACTGGCGGACTAGCCTGTATCACTCCTGATCGTACCCTCTTGATGAGCCTACGCCTTTACTTGGAGATAGATTGATGTATGATTGGGACCTGTTTCGAAAATTCTGTTCCTTTACAGCGGTAGAACACATACCAAACGATCAGCCCGCTATTCGGCTAGCACCTCGACTGGCTTATGCATTTTTTTTGTTGCTTTCTTCTTCTTTTTCGGAACAGAAATTGGGATCGAGAAATTCCATTCATCGTCAGGTGTAGCGGCTTGATCAGGACCACAAGTCTCTTCAATGATATAGGGAGGCTCTTCTTCATGATAAGATAAGATCTCTTATGGTTCTGGTTCTGGTTCTGGCTCTGGTTCCGGTTCCAGTTCCAGCTCCAGCTCCGAGCTTCCATTCTCATTGTCGAATTCTATACTGTACTCTGCGGGGATTCGTTCGGTATCTAGAAATTGTAAGATTCTATAGGGTTCTTCAGAATGAGAATATCTTTCTTCCGACCCACGCACCTTTTTGAAGTGGCGAGATGTCCTGGACACCTTGGAGAGCTTTGTGCCCGTGTTCCAGAATCTTGAGCTTCTCGCTACAACGCGTTCTCTCCCTTGACGATTCCTCGCTCTCTGATGCCAGGTTGGCCACTGTGACATCGTCGATATCAATAACATCCGCCGGGGAAAACAGGGTGGGGAGTTCTTGGATGAGTCGTGCTTCGACGGCAAGGACACTGAAGTCATCGATGATCTTCTTTTGCGCAACCTACCAATGTAAATAATCTGCAGAAGAGACTGGAGATATACTCACTTTGTAGTAAGCCTCCATGAAATCTGTAGCAGTGGAGCTAGCGTAAGTATTCATGTCAGCTTCAGTCTTCGAAACGAGGGCATTGATCAAGACATCCACGTCCATCTCGAACAGTTGAACGCCACCTGCAGCGAAATGATCGCCAAAAAGTCCCTCTAAAGATTTTCTGATCTCTTTTGTCCGACGTGCACTTTGTGCTTTCTGTACACTCTCCGTGAGGTAATGGTTGTACGTGATTGGGTGGCCAGAATCATGAGGTTTTAGTAGCTCCGCTACTTTGTCACAAAGCTCAGAGGTAAGCCTTTCCAATCTGACGTAGACAAACCGCCTTAGTATGCCAGCGAGACTGGCTTCGTCACAAACGTGCGCGAGAGCTTTGCGCGCAAGGAAGCGAACAGCGTGAAGGACTATATCCAGACACTGATTGACAAGGCCTGCCCAAGGCTTTCGCTGTTCGTGGAACAAGTGCCCAATGATAAGTGGGTCGAACGTACCGGGAAGCTCTCGACCTCTGCTTCGTTCCAGAAGTTTAGTGACTTTCGAGATGTAGTCCTTACGGGATATCCGATGAGGTGGGTCGGTCGGGCCTTCGTCCAGAATTGTAAAGGTATGGCCCTTCCTGCGCATGTCGGCTGCAAACGCTGTTAGTGTATTCTGGAGAACCGCTCGTAGACGCTTTTGATATCCTTCATTTGTGGAAGCGTCACCGAAGAAAGGATCAAGATATTGTCCATCCACAGCAGCTTTGATAAGAGTGCTGAACGACTGGCTAACCTGGAGCAGATACCGTCGCTGTTCTTGGGCAGTGGCTCTTGGCGCACCCAAAGTGTCCAATCTTGCTGTACATTCTTGAATGCCGTCCTTGATCTGCACGAGTACATCTGGTAGTTGCGCTACGATATGATCTTTGAGAATCTTGCTCAGCCTCGGCTTTAGGCTGTGGATACCGGTTTGATCAGCCGAAAGTGACCTCCAGATCCCTTTTTCGAAGAATGATGCTTCAATTCGGTCGCGCTCTTCTGTAGTTGAGTCCTTAGTCGTGAAGTCCCTGTTGCGAAGCACATGCCAACCCAGGCGGAACTTCACTTCTTTATTCTGCGCCAGCTCCAGGTAAAATTTCTCACTATCAGATCCCTCATAAAGCGTATCCGGCTTTGTGATCAACCCAAGGGTACGGCGGCCCGTTGGATCAATCTCACGTGAATGTTTTGTGATCGATTGATTATTGAAGTCGTTCTTGGCGGATACAACGGCGAGTATGATGCTGCGTGGATTCTTCATGTAGGAAAGTACAAGTGTCTTGACTGTCTTGGCGTCTTCGTCTGACTGGGAGCGGCTACCAGCTTGAAATAATCCTGGCAGATCCACAAGCGTAAGGTGTGGTTGATTGGGTCCTGAAAGTTCTAGACGAAGGATATCGGAGCTGAAAACTTTGTCGCTGCTCTCAGAAATTCCCATTGCATCTTTGGCTGCTTCAATAACAGCTTCAAGTCCTCTGTCGAGACAGAGGAGTGGAAGTTCCGCAGCTTCTCTAGGTCTCTCTCTGAACGGTCTCTTTCTCGGGAGTCCGGAACAATACTGACCTTGATCGGTGCATCTGCGCCTCGCCGCAAGATCAACTCTGTCGCGAACCTAGTACAAAGGTTGTCTTTGCTTGGGAACTTCACACCCGAAACTGCTTCAAGGACAGAGCTTTTGCCCGAAGACTGTTCGCCGCACACAATAATCTCGGGCAGGTCGATGTATCGATTGATTCCATAGGATCGAAGACTGTCAACAATGTCTAGTAGATCTCGCGTTTCGTGGGACTGCAGAGACATAGTGCGAGGGTGGACGGCGTATACAGCCAATATATGCAGTAAGCTAACAGGCTGAGATATAATCGTTGCCAGACAGAGGTGAAGAATGCGCGGCGAAGGTTTGTAGGTAAGGAGAGTGGCGAGCACGGGGTGGGCTTGTCTTCTGAAGCGAAAGAAAATATTAGGAACCCATCGAATGATCCGTGGTAAATGGAGGAGCTGTTTCAGCCGTGGGAGAAAGCGCTTAGCTACCGCTGGTGGCGCAGCATTGTTCGAATGATAGCATACCACGTCTTACCTTTTGGACGCATCTGTCCGTGGCTCATAATTTCGAATCATTGTACAAGGATCCCCAGGCGGCTGCATATTCACGCCATCATCGTGCAGCATCTTCGAATAATAGTGCATGATTGGCACAGTTCAGAGTAAAAGAAGTGATGATAGTCAGTGATGCGGCGCGGTTACCCCGCGGGTCGTATCGGTACCCAATGGTCGTTCTGGCGACGGTCACCTTGCTCTTCGCTATTATGCATGGATAGCAAATCGCAAACAGAGACGCTTGTGATGACTGTTTCGAGCAGCTTCATCCCTCCTTCAATATAGGTTCTTCCTTCTTATTTTGCTTAGCTGGTGTACCATAGACGATGCCCCCACGCTTCATGAGCAGTTAGCTGTTGAATACTCCCGAGGTCGCCCCAATCAGCTATTTCGTCTCTATTCATGTCTAAACATGAAACTCCGAATACTATACAGTGGCGTCGTGGGCAGACGGTCATCGCGAGTTCCCCAGAGACTACAGTCGTTATCTTGCTACCACCATTCTGCGATTGGCCGTCAAACAATCGATAGCGATCAGAGGCGCTTGCTGAATTGATGCAGAAATCGGGCCTCAGCCACGCTTCCCGAGCTTGTCAACGTCCAATCTAAGATAATCACGTTTACACCTTTACAGCCCTAATAGCCTGTTGATGCTATATTTTCTTCTTATATGCTATGGTATCAGGTGTAGTATTGTGCGAAGAGACGCTGGATTGACAGGACTTAGATAGCTCCTTACGAATCGGAAGAGCTTATACAAGGAGGAGATTGTGAAGTACATGTAACTCAGACTTCTAGTAGACCAAGCCGGTGCTAGCTGTCCACATACAAGACCTGTACTATCTATCATGCGAAGCAATTAGCTTGTCCACACTCGCCCGGATCAACTATCCCGTCTCTATTTATATCAAAGCATGAGACTCCCCACTGTATACCCGGCTCACAAATCAAGCACATGCCGCCGCGGCTCGGATAGTTCTAGACGTCGCATTATTATCAGTCATCTTCTTTTTATCGTCGAACGAGATACTCAAAGCGAGATGCTATTGTGCAAGATCACTAGAGAAGGCAACACTCACCGATCCTCCGCAAGCAGCTTGACGCTTTCCGACATCTTGAGAGATAGCTTCGGATGATCGTTCCAACGGCACAGCAATCGCAAGGATTGGCAAGGTGGCTAGCATAGAGAGGCTTAGAACGAATTTCATGTTGGAAAATGATAGCGGCTCGTAGACAGGTAGAATATCAGAAGGAGGGCGGTGTAGTTGAAAGATGTTAATCTATCGAGACAGAACAGCTTGTTTATATAACTATATTCTAACGGAGCAGTTTCTCGGACATCTCGGACATCGCGGAAGCCACCGAAGCAGTACTGCTTTGAGTTTCGGCGTACGGTGCCTTGGCCCTTGGCAGTACACGATGCCAGCCTGCTATTTGCTACCAACCATAAGACACAATTTGCAATCAGAGACGTTTGTAATCACCTTTGTACGAACTAGATCACGGCAACAAGTGCTGCCTATCCTGAAGTGATGGCAAAAGTTCTTACAGAGCCAGCTCGTGGATAACGAGCGAGATGATAAGAGATACTCATAAGCACTAAGACAAGATGTGGTCTAAGAGTGGAGACTTCAAACGCGCGTTACTAAAATACAAAAGAATCCTAATTACAACTGAAGTTCCCACACGCCTTCCCATATCGTACAAAGACAGCCGTCTAGTAACGACTCACCTTCGCAATGTTCAACAATCCAGGAACCGCTCAAGTTCCTCGAAATACTCCACAGGAGACTGGTAGAGATGACCATGTGCTGAATCAGGATAAAGGTGTAGCTGAGCATCTGGCAGTCGCTGCTGGAGCACAAAACTGTTGCCCGTCCCCATGAGGATATCGTCTTTCCCATTCGTAACCAACACGGGCACAGTGACGTTGGCCAACTGAGCATACCGCTGAGGGTCCGATGCAAAGGCGGTCATCGCCGTGATTTGGGCTGCAACACCTGCACCGATAAGAAAGTCTTTTCGCGTCTCGTCCTTCACTTGACGTTCATGCATGCGGTCCCACCAAAGGTTTCCTTGGGATCTGCTTGTGTTTGACGGATAGAAGAAGATACCAAGCATGTAATCTTCGGTGGGCTGGCGATCGGGCTCACCACCCGGGCCCATGCCAGCGTCTGGTGCTGTTTGGAAAACATCCGGACCATAACCGGGTCGCGCTCCAGCTAGAACCAGCTTGTTGACCACTTGGGGATAATCTATTGCGATAATCTGCGAGATCATTCCACCCATGGAGAAGCCCAGGATATCAGCCTTGGGCACGTGAATGGCGGCTAGCAGATTCATGACTGTTGCAGCCATAGAGTCGGAGGGTTTCAGGAACGCTATCACCACTGTGGCCAATACCGGTGTTGTCCAGCAGAATCACCTCGCGATTCTCTGCGATGATCTTCACAAGAAGAGGATCCAGTGTGTCCATGCTGCCGCGGTAGTGGGTCACAAAGACAAGAGGATTCTTTGACGGTTTGCCAAAGTGTCGGTAATCGGTTCGGGTGTTGTTCAGATCAACAAACTTCGTTCTAGCAGTTTGCGCCAAATGCTGGTGCGATACGCTATCGGACATGCCAGACTTCGCAGGCCTATATAGAAAGGTCTTAGTCTAGTGTTTCGAGGAGATCGTGATGGTGACTTACATAGGTGTTGCGACGGCCATAGCAGCAGCAGCAAGGACGTAAGAGATAAAGATCTTCATGTTCAACGATTGGTAACGAAGTGCAGTAGCGATGGTTTGATCAACTTCCAAGGTGCTGAAAGCACTGTAGATACAAATTCCGATGTGTCATAATGTTCGGGCTACCAGCAAGCTTTATATGGTTAGGGAACTGTGTACACATCTCTCAGCATCAACACTCAGTTGGATGTCAGCCGTTGCCTATGGTCGTCCCATTACTTTCGTGTCGCAAAATCGAGTTTGGCCGGTCACAGTGCTGGAGTTACATCTTGAGCAATGACCAGACAGCGGACTTCACCATCTCTAGCTATGCCAGAAGAGGAAGTTTCTCGCAAATTAGACTCAAACACGGCGAGGGCTGGGCGTTCAGCGTACTGACCGTATCGCAGCGGTCGAACGTATCAGTCCGCAGTCGACAGCCAATGCTTGCACTCGGGCGATTAGGTAAAGGTCGTAAGGCGACGACACTGGATTCTATCTCCCAGACGCCTTTTATCTCCAAATTGTGTAGGCTTGGTCTGGGACTAGCACATAAAATCGGTACTTGGGTGCTGTTCATTGGTACAGACTACCAAAGGCACGATTAGTGAACAACGAGCAGCCGCGGTCATTGTGGCTTTTGAGTCCGTGCTGAATTATGTCAGGATTGATGATACATATCTTATGTTCTGATTGGCACGGTCTCGGTATAATGTGGTGGCCGTGCCCGACAGTCAGCCCGGAGCTAGAGTACTTCCCGTGCAAGGACATCCCGGAAATGCTTCACGTCCCTATTCATACACGTCAACCAAGGTGTTGAGGTCCTCACAAAGGGACCAGGTGCGATTCGCAGATGGTGCAACGATGCGCCGATTCAACCTGGATATAAGGTCCACTGATGACAACACCATGGCCTCCAACCCAATCTGCCGTCTACTAAAACCATCCAAGTTTATTCAATCAATTGCAAGATGTCGCACACCGCGTTAGTAACTGGAGGTACTGGCTTTATCACACTCTACGTTGTCAAGTTACTTCTTGAACATGGCCGCCACGTTCACACTACCGTTCGCAGTCTAGCCAAGAAGAACAAGTGCAAGTCTCTTCTCGAACTCCAAACTTAGTACCCGGACAAGCTCACCTTGTTCGAAGCTGATCTCTTGAGTCACGGCTCTTTCTTCTAGGCGATGCAGGGTTGCGATACTGTCTACCACATTGCCTCACCTTTCCTAGTACCACAGCAGATCAAAGATGGTATGAAGGATTGCGTCGAACCAGCTCTGAATGGTACTCGCAATGTTCTCGTCTCTGTGGACGACACGGAAAGCGTCAGACGGGTGATCCTGACGTCCTCAAGTAAGTGATGTGATGCCACAAACCATAATGCCCTGCTAACGACCGTCCAGTCACAACCATGTACGGCGACAGCATCGACATTCACAAAATGGAGAACAAAACGCTATCAGAGAGATACTGGAACACCACAAGCACAGCCAACACGAACCCCTACAGCTTCTCCAAAGTCGCCGCCGAGAGAGAAGCCTGAAAGATGTACGAAGCACAGGACCGCTGGGAAATTGTCGTCATAAACCCAGGCCTCGTCGTCGGTCCCTCTATTTCTCCTGAATCCGCTTCAGGCTCCCTGTACATGCTCGAGGCCATGTATCGGGGCGAAAACAAAATGGGCGTCGCCGATCTACACTACCCGGTAGCGGACGCGCGTGACGTTGCTGAGGCACATGTTATTGTGGGAGAAGATATAGCTACAAAAGGCAGATTCATCATCGCTAGCGACCGTAGTTTGAGCTTGCTGGAAATGGCAAATGCCGTTCGTCCTGCTCACAAGACACCAAATGTTCTGCCTACGCGAGATTTGCCCAAGCTGATGGTCTATGCTGCGGGACCGTTTATGGGACTGTCCATGAAGTGGGTTTCGAGGAATATTGGGATAGGATTCAAAGTTGATAACCGCAGGAGCGTTTCCGAGCTGAAGATAAAGTATCGTCCTTTGGAAGACACGATGGCGGACCATTACGATGAATGGTTGCGCAACTCAAGTAGCCATTAGGGTAATTGCTGGGCACCTATATGTATTGCATGGATTGCCAAGACGAGCTCTGTAATAATTTCTTTCTCTCTTTCTTGGAATATGATTCTTTCAAATGTGAACACTAGCAAGATGAGTTCGCTGCATCTTCTCCAGCATCGGAACGAAGTCTTCGCCCCTTTGCATAACCATTGCCTCACACTGACGCTCCAGGTTCTGCATAATGCGGCGCGAATCTTGTTACGCCTTAGCACGTACCTTGTCCACATCCATATCCACATCCGCAGGGGACGACTGCAGCACCGTAGTCCCAAGCTGGTTGAAGGAATGAGAAGGACACCGCTTACTAGAGATGACAACACTACCAGCGCTTCTGTCAGGCGTAAGCGTGTCGACCGTGTCGCTAAGACCAGGAGCTTCGGCGCCATGTCGCGTTCCCCAGACCAGGGCGTCGCCACCTGTCTATCACCTTTTTTCCTCAGCGCAATCTAATGTCGGGTCTAAGACACGGTTGCTAGATATTTAGGCGGTAGAGTATCGGATTGTCTATCCGACATACAAAAGCACTGCAAGATCGAATATGAGTGGCAGAACAGCGTGAAACGAGGTCGTTTCTCTGGTGTCACCCTGGCACGGCAATGTCTAGTGCTTTGATAGCGTGACGTTCCATGTCAGCACCTGACCTCAGTACGACGAGATACTAGCGCTTGGCGCGTCACTTCAGTGAGGCAAACAATTGCGAGTATAATCCCCAGTGGTAATGAGTGATGGTTTTGAGGACTAGAGTCCATACGAAGAAGAGTTATAATAATGTACATGTGAAGAGAAGTAAACATGTCACTGACATGCTCTCGAGAGCCCACCATTACGGGAGTGTCCATATGTTCACCGCCTAAATCCGACCAACACCAGCTAGGTTTTTGATGTTAGTGCTAGCTGCTGCGACTGAGGCAATTGGCTGGCCCTTGACGGAAGAGATGAATGCAGTATCAGTTCCACCGAGCTTTCCGCTGGAGACAAACGTGTTCATCTGGCAGTTGTGTCCCAGGCCCGTCTTGCAAGCCGTATTAGCGCTGGTTGACGGCGATCCAAAGAAAGCACCCTTGTTCTCGAGCAGAGGAGTGGTAACGGATTGGAAATAGTTGCCTTCAGCCACGACCTTTCCACCCGCCAAGTTGTCGAATGCGTGACCAGAGTTGGAGTACCAATAGTTGTTGACTGCGTGGAGGAACGTGTTCTGGCCAACCTTGGGGCTTCGACCGCTAGTGTGGTGGATATAGTTGTTCTTCATTGTGACCTTGTCGGCTGAGCCATCGAGGTAGATGGCGTAGTAATGGCGGTTATCACAAGTAGCAGACCAGCTAGTCTGACCATCGAACTCGTTGTTGGATAGCGTAATGCGGCCAGCGGCACCAGTTCCGGCTACAAACATCTGGCGACCGATAAGGGAGAACTTGCAGTGATCTGGTCTGTTAGTGGAACTCTTTTTGGTTGAACAGAATCTACGTACCAACCCACAGAAGGTCAGACCCTGCATCCGTGGCAATAGCATCGCCTCCCCAGATGTATTGAGGATTGATCTCGGTAAAGTGAATGTTCTGGATGATAATGTTCTTGGCCTTGGCAATCCGCAGGCCGCGACCACGGATTACACCTTTGTTACCAACGCCGATGAGTGATTTGTTCGAGCCCATGTTAATCCCGTAAAGACCTGCTTTATCGTAGGATACTTGGATGGTCTTGACGCCCGCGCCAGCAAATTTGGGCTGACACCAGTTGTTGAGATTGATGGCGTCCTGGCCACCCTTTCCTGGGCATGCGTTTGACGTTGGCCTGCAACCGTTTTCCACAGCCTTGCCTTGGGTACCCTTGAAGTTGTATTCTTTGTCAATAACGATGCAACGGGCAACATTGTCCGTGAGCCACGTCGTCAACTGAGCTACACTGGATGGCACTTGGCAAGCTGCTTTACCACCTCCGGTGACCCCATTCGCAAATCCCTCAGCCTTTCCTTTCACAGCGTAACTTGCGCGGCTGCCAAGGACTGCGGCATCCACGCAGAGAGCACCTCCAAGCATAAGAAGTGAGAGTTTCATGGTGTTGAATGATGAGAAATGAAGGTATAGGGTGAGTTGTTGATGTGGAATGAGTGTATGGGGTAAGAAATATGCAGAGAAGAGAATGATATGTAGAAGCAGTAGATGTTGGCGCTCTTATAACTATCTGTAATGAGATTTGTTGTCTCAAGGCGGCTTTTCCATCTTCTTCGGGAACGTAGTAGAGATGATTACAATGAGTTTCAAAGCGTACGAGTCATTACCCTTGTGCTGTGAAAGTACTAGTGCTTCTAGAGTAAAGTGGCGCACGGCCACTGTTACTAGCGTTGGTCCAGATTTCGATCTGACGGAAAAACCTATGCCGACAGTCCGATCTTCAGCGTTTTAGCTGTAGTACGCTGAAAGCAGGAGCTGAAATGCCGTTGCATGGCTTCGATTCACAGCGCAGAGATATTACCGCTTCTAGTCCAGCGCAGAGACATTATCCCTTCTAATTCAGCGCGAAGACATTGTTGCCTCTAGTTGTCCTCTATTCGCTAATCCGACTCAGACCTGTAGAGCGGGCAAGATAAGTGAGACTCAAAAGTATCTGCTGAACAGCTTTGCCCTCGAACACAAGCCTAGATCTACCCTGTGCAAGCTTTTCGGGTAATTGCTTGTAGTTTTGCTAGATTGCATTATTCTGTGAATACGAGTTTAATATACATTCCTTTCGGATACGGCAAACAGAGAGGCTAGTGTTTCATGTATTATTCAGGATACGCCGGTTTCCAGGGCTGTTGTAACGAGCATGTGCTCTCGGTTTTCGCTATTCAATTGTTCCGATCGCTCTTTCGACGTGAGCATTCGTACGAGATACGGTAAGGAGGAATGGATGCCTTGTATGCCTGAGGCAGGATAGATAAATCCGATACCAACAACAGCAACCTTCAACCACGGATGCAAGCAAGATTCAGCGCCTGTGCTTTCCACAACACCTATACCGACTGGATCATCGGCGTTCTGAATGAGGTCCAGGACTATGGTTGAGGGCTGCTTGACCAGGATTGGCCGAGCAATCCTGTTCTCAAACATGGAGGTGGACACCTTGAATACCTAAACACGCTTGGTCTCGAGAGAGCAGGTTTCAACGTCACATCAAAACCAGATGCTGATCGACGTGACTTTCCGCGTTCCCCGGATGGTTCTTTGAGTGATGCTGTTGGTGGACGGAGCGCGATGAGGCAGGCGAATATGGTCGTTACGCGGCCCGCAGTCACTCATGTCAGAGCGCTGAAGCGGGCGTCAGTGGAGTAGCACCGAATTAGTGTAACTTCGATCCAGGAGGCAGCATCCGGTCGGCTCTTCTTCGAGGATCTCCAGAGCCTTGACGAAGAAGGAGACCTTAAGATGGAGTATGCTACCTATAAGCTGTACGAAATGAATGGCTTACTGCAGAATTGCGCGAGAACGGTGATGAGATCGTTTCATAGCGCGGGAGTACGCTAGTAAGCACGTCGATAGGCGGTTTGTCAAGATGACCATGAATGGCAATTTCATCGTTCCTTCGCTTACGGTGTCCAACCTAGACGAGAATGGGGACATCGACATGGAGCATATTCTACAAAGGATTTTGGACCGAGTTTGCAACATCCATACTGTAAGGTCTGGCGCGGTGAGGCAGACGTTGAATAACTTTGAAGCGTCGCAGAAAGGTAATCCAAACGGGGCCCATCATAGCATTGCTCATTATATTTCGGTTGACCCAAGTGAGTATTAAGCTTGTCTACCTTGGTTGAAAGCGTGGACAGATTGAGGGGTTAGTGGATATACCTAAATTTCGTGAATTACAGCTTAAGACGTCACCGGCCATGCATTTTACCACTAAGCCCCCTCCTCCGAACCTAAGATTCAACTTCTCCTGCTTAGTCGAGGCGGAGAACCTCGTCCCAATTGGCAGTGATTGGACTTTTGGAATGACCTTGCCTCCTTTTCTGTCAGTTGCTTACCTGGTAGACAAGGCGGTCGACGTCAGGCCTGGCCCGAGTAGTGTTCTTGCTGCGAGTCGTGTAAGTTGTTTGGAGGCTTCGATATGTCTATAGTCACAGGTGGTGCATGTTAAGGTCACAAAAGAAGCCGTAGCGAGATTTGTTGTGAAGAGTCTGGGTCGAGAGTTTGGGTAATGGGTGGGCAAAGTGGATCGGCCACGTGTGGCTGTGCAGTGACGCATGACGCGCCTGCCCGCAATTCCACTCCGTCAACTTTCTTGCGCGTCTGGTTCCACCTGCAACAGCGTCAACACAGAACAACATCGCTCACTATACCCGTAGACATATTGTGCTCACGCATATGTAAGTTCCCCAAGTCCTCCAAAAAGAAGGAACGGGGTGTTGCGCCACTTCGAAGGGTGGGCGCTTGCGCTGCCCCTCCGAAGCTTCGGGAAGCAGGCGTCATGTTTGAGCTGCAAAGGATTCCACTGACAGCCGCTCGTGCAGAGAGACGATACAGCTTCCACGATACGACACACACTCGCGACCATCGCAAACATGGCCTCAACCGCGCTCATCGACGCCGACATGGCGCCCACGCTCCAGTCCATCCTCGACCAGAAGACGCTCAGGTGGATATTCGTCGGCGGAAAGGGTGGCGTGGGAAAGACGACGACATCGTGCTCCCTCGCTATCCAGCTCGCAAAGCACCGCAAATCTGTCCTCCTCATCTCGACCGACCCCGCGCACAACCTCTCAGATGCCTTCAACCAGAAGTTCGGCAAGGATGCGCGCCTCGTCAACGGCTTCGACAACCTCAGTGCCATGGAGATCGACCCCAATGGCAGTATACAGGATCTGCTAGCTAGCGGTGCGGAAGAGGGCCAAGATCCCATGGCTGGCCTGGGTGGCATGGGCAGCATGATGCAAGATCTGGCCTTTAGCGTATGTGTGGCACAACATGTCCCCACGACATGGAGGCTGACTACCGACAACAGATCCCCGGTGTTGACGAGGCCATGTCCTTTGCCGAAGTGCTCAAGCAAGTAAAGTCCATGTCCTACGAAGTCATCATCTTCGACACGGCACCCACGGGCCACACACTCCGCTTCCTGCAATTCCCCACCGTCATGGAAAAGGCCCTGTCCAAAGTCTCGCAACTTTCTCGCCAATTCGGCCCCATGCTCAACTCCTTCCTCGGCGCCTCCGGCCGCCTGCCCAACGGCCAGAACATGGACGAGCTGGTCGAGAAGATGGAGAATCTGCGAGAAACAATCGGCGAGGTCAATGGCCAGTTTAAGGATGCGGATCTGACGACCTTTGTGTGTGTCTGTATCCCCGAGTTCCTGTCCCTGTATGAGACGGAACGCATGATTCAGGAACTCAACAGCTACGAGATTGACACACACTCCATTGTTGTCAACCAGCTGCTGTTCCCCAAGCAAGATAATCCCTGCGAGCAGTGCAATGCGCGACGGAAGATGCAGAAGAAGTACCTCGATCAGATTGAGGAGCTGTACGATGAGTTCAACGTGGTCAAGATGCCGCTCTTGGTCGAGGAGGTGCGGGGCAAGGAGAAGCTCGAGAAGTGGGTATCCAGCACACCGTATCGCGATTCAGATTGTACTAACAAAGATTCCAGATTCAGTGAAATGCTCGTCAAGCCTTTCGTCCCACCGCAGTAGGCCCGTGCCGTTTGTCAAACGTGGTCGCAGATAGGGCTAGGCTTGCGTGCGGGAGAGCCTCAATCCCCCCTTGGACACTGCGTCGAGGCAGCGACAGGGCTGAAGATGCCGCGATGCCATATTTTCTTTGCCGATTATTCACCGTGTTTGCCCTTGTACCGTGCACGTCCTGTGCACGTCTTGCGATACCATGTGGTTCTGCGATCTCGCGTTCTTTCCCCCACATCGCGACTCAAGCAGCACGGAGTTTTGTACTTTTAGCGACTAGTTCCGATCTATCGCGCTCGGTGGAAATGAAACACCCGTCAATTGACCCAAAGCAGTGAAGCTTGAGAAATATCTGTTTCCATTCTTGTCCATATTTTCCTCCAATTCATCGTGCTGTTGTTACTGTTGCACAGATATACCCCGTGCGCCAGACTGGTTGTTGATTGGTACAAGTGGGGCTCCGCAGCTATCTCTAATCGCAGCGGGTGGAAATGAGAATGCTTCAGGTCTTTGCGCCTCTGCCAAAGCATGAAAACTGGCAATTATTTAGTCTCCTTTCTTGGTCATGTCCGTGGGCAGCTGACTTTGGATATACCTGCAAGTAAGCACGCGACTTTTGTTGAAGGATTCGGAGATATACGTTAGCCGCTGACGGCCTGACCCAGGAAAACGCCATTTATTGGGGTGCATTTAGCCCGCCATTTCGAACGTTCCGACAATTGCGCACCCCGCATATCATAGTGCGGACTAACGTGAAGAAGCGCTGACACCGAAGAACTTTGCTTCCACGACACCACATGCTTCGGAGCCTGAAGAGCTTTTGGTCTGCTCCGTGAGTTTCGTCGTCTACTATGGTACGTACCTGCCTGAAGTAGATTCTGGGGCGCATGGTGTGGCTACGTCACGCCTTTACCCCGCAACTCTCAGCCCCATCATTCGCGATGGCCATCGCATCTTGTATCCAAGCTACATTGTGCGCTTTCCAGCCCCTTCAGATACCGGTGAGGGGAGACACAGTCATAATGCACAACAGCTGAGCGACAGTATAACGGCCGTAAGACTGCCTCCGATCTGAAGATCGCATTCTCCTGTTCCAGTGCTCCGGTACATGAACGTCTAATGCTGATGTCAGAAGAACTCTACTTCCATGCCTCGGTATCTCCGTTCATCAGCTGTGGAAACAAGCTGGTGTTCGTGCAGCCTAAACAGGAACAGGTAAACGCCCTCTTCCATGCACGCACGCTGCATGCGGTAGTGTGCGGGATCATGCGTTCGCAATGTCGCGTGCAGTGCACAAGGAAAAGGCGCCGAGCGTCGAACAGCGACGACTAATCATGTCCAAGAAGTGGCAGTTGACGCGAGTGATGCGACGGGCATATTGTGGGGATGGCAAGCACCGAAGAGAAAGCAAGTCGCCAACAACACAGTTCTGCCTACCTACACTGCAAGACCGACGGCGCAAAACAAGTCCTTCTTCACGCATGAGCAGATCAACGAGGCTGAGCCAGTTTCATCTACACAACATGTTCCTGTGGCTTACACACACACCCCAACGTCTATGCGTTAATGCAATCGCCTTTTTTTTTGTGGCTTGCGCGAGCGAATCTGCAGCCCAGCGGCGAACTTTCTAATCTTAGTAAAGCCACGTTGTGTGACACACAGGCACCATCCCGGATCCTGGTCAAGATCGGCACACCCACACCAAAGCTACGGGAACCGGGGTGTAGGATGGCGCTTGTCCAGGGGGGGGGATGCATGCATCCACACATCAAAGCTACGGTAGATGTAGATTCTTTTTACCTTTGACCGCCGGGAGTAGGCTCAGCCGTTGGGCTGGGCTTGGTAAGTGTGTGACCGTTGGACTTTAGTGGAAATGAATATGTATATAGGTTGTCGCGTATCGCCTCTGTGTAGGATTCAGGTCAGATCGTTCGCGTGTGGTCTCTCCCCTCCTGTCGTGTGAATATCGGGTTGCTTGTTTGCTCCGTCGGTACATTCCTGCTGTGTAGAGTCGATCCGCCAATCCCGCAATACACCAGTCACCTCGCAATGGCATCTTCCCTTCTTCGCCTGAGCGCTTTATTGCTCGGTGCAGTTCACTCTGTCACCGCAGTGCCCGTCGAACTCAATGGCAGAGGTATGTAATCTCACACTAGCACATATACCAACTCCAACTAATCCACACCCTCTAGCCGTGTCAACATCCATTCTCTCTCAATTGGAATTCTTTTCCGAGTACTCCGCCGCAGCCTACTGTCTCGGCAACAACAACAGCCCCAACACCAAAGTCACCTGCCCACAGGGAAACTGTGCCCGCGTAGAAGCAGGTAAGCTTCAATTCCGGACAGCATGAAATCTTACGTGATCTAATATACTGACTCTTGCCACCAGCAAACACCACCACGCTCTCTGAATTTGAGAACAGCATCGCCTCCGATGTAACTGGCTTCGTCGCAACCGACACAACCAACCAGCTCATCGTAATTTCCTTCCGCGGCAGCCGGAGCGTACGCAACTGGATCACCAACGTGCAATTCCCTGTGATACCGACCTCCATCTGCGCCACATGTTCCTCGTCACTCGGCTTCTGGAACTCGTGGCTCGAAGCCCAGAAACCTGTCTTGTCAGCTTTGAACACGGCTCGGAAGCAGTATCCCAGCTACAAGATTGTGGCTACGGGACATAGTCTGGGTGGCGCCCTGGCTAGTCTTGCAGCGGGCTATCTTCGCTCGACTGGCGTGACGGTCGATTTGTACACATATGGTGCGCCCAAGATTGGTCTCGCTGGTGTGTCTGATTATATTACTGCGACGGGGAAGGGACAGACGTACCGTGTTACGCACAAGAATGATCCGGTACCCAAGTTGCCGCCTGCGCTGTTGGGGTACAGGCACATCTCCCCAGAGTACTATGTTACTAGTGGAAATGATGTCGCTGTCAAGGAGGCGGACGTTAATGTGCTGACGGGCAACTTGAACTTGAAGGGGAATGAGGGAGATTTCGGGGTGGATATTGATGCTCATTTGTGGTATTTCGGGGCAATCAGTTCGTGTGAGGGACAGGAGGGAATTGAGATTAAAGCTTAAATGACGTCCATGATTATGAGTAATTAATGTATATATTCTACTTTGCTTCGCGCTGATCATGCATATGGGCTCCAGCAAGTGAGTGCAACACGCACAACGAAATCGACTTGATTATCCCTTGTTTGCTACAATAGCAGATATCATGCTGACCGAACAAGTCACGTAAGGAGCAGACAGTGGCTTATCATCATTGTTGCGACTCAGACTTAGGTACAATACAACACTCCTGGTAAGATGCTAACTCTCAATAACACCGCCGTCTTATCTGTCTCCTTAAACATCTTGAGGAACATCAGGATTATTGACCGGTGCAACATAGCTAGTGCTTGTAGTGCATGTATTGCTTCCGCAATCTTCATCCTTTACTTGAGTTTCCACTCCGCCCACCGACCAAGGTTTTGTGGTACAGTAGTTGACAGGAAAGACGGTGGAGATAGAGAATGACGCCATCTACGAAGTGGTCAGCCTTACACCCTAAGAATTAAATTCCCAATAGGAATAAATACTGATTTTTGTGCTAGGAAAGTTTATGAAGGATATCTGTCGTTTAGGATAAGGTATGTGTATGATAGTAGCAGAGTCGAGTTGAGACGAGATTACATGTCCGACAGTGAGTTATACCCAGATATTATACTTCAGAACGAAGGTGAGGGATTAGTTCTCTTTTGCCTTTTCCGGCGATTACTGTATGCATGCCTCTCAGTGGCTTGTGGAAAGACTGACCGAACCAATTAGCTGACTGATGCCGATAGTTTCAAAGTAGACACGCGATGCGATAAGGTGCAACTAGGTCCGAAATATCCAATCGCTCTACAATGCCATACACCTCTGTTCACACATCGAGTGAGAAGCTGACGCTGTTACATCCTCTGTGCGCGACTCACTATCTAACAGGCATGAAAATTTTGATACGGATTCGGGAGAAAGGGAGATATTTATTGGTGATACCTGACTTGTCATCTCTTCGAAGTAGACCAATCCCAATTGTCACGGTTTCGGCTGCTGCCTAGCCTTGACAACTGTGTTGCAGCCGCGTGGTCAGTCCGATGAGAACAAATCTAACGCCCGAAACAGAAACTGATCGTGCTCACGGCTGTAAGTCGAGAAAGAAATGTCTATGTTGTCAAATCTCCCTGCCCTTGGAAAAAACCTTCGAAACGAGGTACGTGATGACCATTGTGCACGAGCTCATGAAAAGCCCAGCAATCCATGATGCCTGGGCCTCATCTTTCAATTGGGCACCGTTAGCAAACAAAACAACCCAAGCCTTATCCTGCAGCTCCAAAGAAGCCCCAGTGCACCAGCAGCTGTTATAAAAACCGATAAGTTCAAACACCGAACTCAAAATGATCCAAATGGCGTTGATGACGGCAAGAGATTTACCGCAGACCCGCAAGAAAACGGCGAGTCGACCAATCCACTTGACGTGAAAGCTCCGGGGATCATTATGCGCTACGCCTATCTGTCTCGTCTGTGGCTCTCTTCGTCTTGTGCGTGGATCTCCCTGGCATATAAGCATTACGTGATGCAACAAAAAGACTGATGTCAGGAGAAGGATATGGGCAGAAGTAGCAAGGATGCCGTATATCAGGTAGCTGCCAGAGCGACAGCCAAGTCCGCGCACCTCCGTCAGATAGGATATGACAATGGCAGACCCAGTGATGCCCCACTGGAGTAACACGGCGACAGCATTTGACGCCACGAAGTTCCGCTTCAATATGGAGTTTGATAGAACATCCTCCCAGGACATATATGGCAAGCAAGGATCGGAGGTAACATTAAGAGGTGCACCGGCTTCGATTCGGTACGTGCCGTTTCGGACTGGGCGCTGATATCCAGTAGGCGTAGCTTGTGAGCGAGATGAGGCTGAGTCACTAGCTGTCGTGTGAGCAGAGTTGTGGTCCTCAGGCCCGTTCGGCAATGATTGAAGCTCGTGGTCCGGTAGTGGTTTGACTTTGGTATTGAATTTGTGTACAATCGTATCTCGTAGCCGTGGAAAGGTCAGAATACGTGCATAGTTGTAGAGGGGTCCTTGGCGTGCTTCGTCTCCTTGCAATGACCCCCACAAAGCATCATGGACGTCCATTGGCTGGTATTCATTCGTTTTCGTCGACGTTCTCATGAAGCCAGACCTGGCTTCGAGGGCTCTCAGTGGGGAAGCACCATTTATCCTTTTGCCTTGGATCGCGTGTTGCACGGTGTCCTTGCCCGATTGTGTCCCGACAGTCATCCAACCATAGACTATCGGAATCAACCACGTCCAAAGCGTACCGGAAGAGAGCAGAAGTGCTTCAGAGTACTGACCGAGCGATGTAACGTACGATCCGATGAATGTCAGAAGCCAAGCAGCAACTGCAAAGAACGTCTGCGCGAAGAGGGAGAAGGTATATTTTCGGCGAGTGTTCTGGAGTCCTTTTTTGAGAGGTTGCCATCGATCGCGTAGTCGCTTCGGGTCTTCTTCGAAAAGTTTTTGCAGCTCATCTTGGTTGATTCTGATGGGAGATTGCTGGGAGCCGCAAAGAAAATATTCAGCCGAATGTATTGCTTCTTCCATATGTGATGTCATCTCGTTTTCCTTGAGTATGTCTTCGAACATTCTCGATGTTGTATGTACGTTCAACGCTGTCGAGATGAGAGAAAACGTAATCAACATCGGGCTTCCAACCGCAAGGCAAAAGCATTCAAAATTTCCAGGTATGGTACCAGTCTCGTACGGCAGTTGCGCCGTCAGACCGAGCCAGGGTAGCAAGTAATTTGTCACACCGGATGTGAAGATTGGGAAATCAAAGACCTGCTAGGATTTAGCGTCGAAAACATCGTGCGATCTCAGTTTTGAGATTGTTATGTACAATCTTGGTAATTGAGGAGTACATTAGATTGTGCTGAGAAGGGGAAGGGAAATACCATAGGGAATTCCTGCCTGCTGCAGTATGCATAACAAGTCTCTATGTTGATACCCCATGCGCCCGTAGATTTCTCCACAGCCTTTTCGCCATGTTTACCGACTACGCCTGCTGCTATACTTGTGAGGTTATCGGCCTTGAAAAGCCGATCTACACACCTTGACGTCCATGACGAGCCCTTGCGAATATTGCGAATATAGTCGGAGTGTATAAGAGTTTTGAGCTCAGATTCTTTCATCTTCTAACGCGTGAGTTAAGTTGAGATTGTAAGTATCTACGTCTCTGCAGCTCGAAAGGCGACCTCGATACATCTTAAATACTGAACGCCAGGCACATACTATGCCCGGGTATGTGTATGTAAGCAGTCGTCATAATCCTATGCGCAATAGCCGGGTGTGTTGGCTTTCCGGTCAAGTCATCTATTTCGTGTTCCCAATGACTAGGCTGACAAGCAGCCGTTGCGGGACGTTTTGGGTGACACAAACATACAATTGACACCGATAGATGCGGATAATCACGCAGCTGATATGCTACGCCCCAATCGAGACGTCCTCGTCAGCTGGTCAAAATATGCGATAACGCAGGGGCAACGAGCCACTTGTAGCTTCCGCGATAATGACGGTACAAGTGTGTAGAGGTAAGTTTTAACAGGATATACGGTAAGTGTGGAAACTAGTCAGCTGGGAGCTCACATCAGGTTAAAGAGCGACCCTGTTCATACCGTTCGAATCTAACATGTCGCCGGCATCCAGATAAACCTTTTTCGAAAACTCCTTGAGTATAGCTCCATGATAAAGCTAATTCGGATTCTTGTTCGTAGGCAGAGAAATATGGGTAACCAAATCGCGCAGGCGTGGAGCAATGAAGCAGCATCATGTCGAATGTGGTAGCCTGAGCGCGATACTGCGCTAAGTCAGAAAGAGCCTAGTCTTATCTAAGAAGGCAAAGCAGGCGTTGAGTGGCGAGTAAGCAATATCACCTTTCCAAGGTTCACATTGCACCCTCTATTTTATTCCCACCTGTGTTGTGCCGGTGCACAAAGTGATTAGTCAGTATTAAGGAAGATGTCCTCGGTTCTTCTTGTGCTCACTAGAGATCACCACTAATCCTACTCGACTAGCAACCATCAGTTTAGACTTTATCATGTACACCGCACTCCTTTAGTTACTAGAATACAACTGTACAACGCCTGTACATCCCTTGGCTATGCTAAGGGGATGCCTCGATATGCTCGTGATAGTGTCTTCATACACTACAACACCCGTACAGTATAGTGTTCATTTCGAATGAGAGCAACGCTAGAAACATCAAATGCTCTATATAAACCAGATGATTAATTCATCTTCATAAAAAAAAATCTACACATGCAACGCTAACACGCGACACCACCCCCTTCTCTACCGACGAAGTAGTCTGAAGCTTAGCACACCTAGTATACAAGAAAGCATCAAGCGGGCGCTTTGCCTCATTCTTGATTACGCTAGAACAAAACAAAAAAACATACATCAACATGCCCCGATTCCCATCCCACACCCGCTTCATGGCAAAACAACACTACTTCTTCTTGCCCTTGCCTTTGCCCTTGGTCGCCGAACCCTTGGTCGCCGAACCATTCGTAGCAACACTGCTCGCTCTACTCGGTGTCGCACTCGCCGGTGAGGCCTTCGCTTTCACTGTATCGAGTTGCTTGTTCTGCCGCTCACGTTAGTATCCCCATCAACCACCAGCAATTAAAGAGAATTCAACATACCTTGACCCCATTCTTCGCCTTCTTCCCCTTTGGCTGCTCAACCTCCTCTTCCTCCTCCGTCTCCTCATCCTCATATCCTCTCTTGCCATTTTTATTCTTGACATCCCCTTCACCGAGCTCCCTCACAATAGCCGAGATGAGCGTCGTGCATCGCCTTCCAATCTCCTGCGGTGTGCGCGAGAGGAAGAACCAGTCGAAGCGAAACAACGGACTCTCGCGAATCTCATCGCGAATCTTCTCGTAGATGAACTCGCCCTCAACACCATGCTTGTGCAGCATGACGACGAGGAACTTGTCTTCTTCCTCGGTGTACACCTTCTTATTGGTAGTCGAGACGGTGTACTTGATTTGCATCTGCTGGAGTGGCATGCGGTACATGCCAATCTTCTTTGCAATGAGCCGTTTCTTCTCTTCCGACTGTCGTACACGCAGTTCACCCTCTTCGATGACGCCGAGATGTTTTTGCCAGTTGTCAAGTGTCTTGTACTTTTTCCAGAAGACTTTAGCGTAGGCCTTGATCTCGTCGGCGTCTTTGCCGTCAACTTCCTCCGAGATGCCTTCGTAGTTTTGACGACCGTATTTGGCACTGCCATTCAGGAACTGCTGGAAGTCACGCTTGTTCCATTCAGGGAATCCTTGTTCGATCAAGCGTTCCTTCTCTGCCTTCTCCTCTTCCGTCAGCGGCTCTGCATCGTCAATCTCCTGCTGCGCAAGTTGTTGGTCGGCTTCTCGTGCTTCGAGGTCTTCGTCCGGGCCATCTGGCAGAGGAGCTTTCAGGTTGTTCTCCTTGCGGTACCATGCTGTCTCTTTATCTTGAAGAACCGCTAGTCGATCAGGGAAGAACTGGTAGTCGTGAATGGTGATTTGCTTGGGCGCGCGAGGTATCCTAGGCTGCTTGTTCTCGGTTCGTCCACCAGTGACGAGCGTCTTTCGATAATATGAGTCAATGCCGTAGTTTTGCTCTTTGCGTTCGCGCTTCGAGGGGTTGATCCAGGATATGCCGATCTCCTTCTTACGTGGCTGGAAAGTCTCGCCGTTCCACTCGTATGTTGAGTCCGAGGTAAACTTCTGGAGGTCGTCAAGACCAAGAGTCTCGTACCTCTTGTTGAGCTTCTCAGTCATTTCTTCACCACGGCGCATGACAGCTTCGAAGTCGTCGTCGGCGAGTTCGCCATCGGCGGCTGGGCCGACGGGTCCCTTGCTTGCGAATACTTTCTCGGCTCCGTGCTGAATCATGGTCAGAAGTTCGTCCTTGGATGCGGCGTTCTTGACGGGTTGTTGCGAACGACCCTGCTGGATGACTAGCTGGTCGAGACGCAGCTTCTGTGCAGCACGCTCAAGCACCTTCTCCTCGATAGCCATCTCGGTAACGAAACGGAAGACGTAGACCTGCTTAGTCTGACCGATACGATGAGCACGGTCCATGGCTTGAAGATCAGCTTGTGGATTCCAATCACTGTCGAAAAGGACGACAATGTCAGCAGAAGTCAGGTTAATACCCAGTCCACCAGCGCGGGTAGTCAAAAGGAACAGGAACTTCTCTGAGCCCTCCTTGTTGTAGTCGTCGATGGCCTGAATACGGTCCTCATGGGCAGTCGAACCGTCGATACGGCAATACTTGTAATCGCGCATGACTGAGTAGTCCTCCATGATGTCCAGAACACGACTCATCTGTGAGAAAATGAGCACTCGACTGCCCTGTGCCTTCATGCGCTTAAGCAGCTTGTCCAGCATGACCATCTTGGCAGCATTGGTAACGAGATGTTCGTCAGTGGTGTATGGCGGACCAGGCTCGGCGCCTTCGAAGAGGTATGGGTGGTTGCAACATTTGCGCAGCTGCATGACGATGTTGAGGAGGCGAGTCTTGGATTCCTTGTTGCCAGCACCGCCGTTCACAGCGTCAATGTCCTTTTCGAGAATCTTCTTGTACCACTGTACTTGCATGTCAGACATGCCAACATATAGGTTGATCTCTTTCTTGGGCAATAGCGATTTCTCGACATCGGCCTTGACACGTCGGAGCAGGAAGGGTCGGAGGACCTTGTGTAGTTGTTTGACGACGGCGTCGGAGTCGGCGTTCTGCTGCGAGAACCAGTCGTCGAAAGCGGCGGAGTCTCCGAAGACGTCGGGGAGGAGGAAGTTGAGTAGAGCCCAGAGCTCGTGGAGGTTGTTCTGGAGAGGGGTACCGGTGATGAGCAGTCGGCTTCGAGAGTTGAACATGCGAACCATCTGTGCTAAGGACGACTCTTCATTCTTGATACGATGTGCTTCATCGATGATGATGTATTCCCATGCGAACTTCTTCAAGTGCGACTTCTCGCGCAAGATCATCTCGTAGGACGTGATACAGACATCGAAACCATCAGGCACCAGGCGCTCCTTGATGAGCTCGGCACGAGCATCCTTATCACCCTGGAGGACCAAGACGTTGACCTCGGGGCACCACTTGGCGAATTCGCGCTTCCAGTTATCGAGGGTCGACTTGGGCACTGCGACCAAGTGGGGACCGTGGATGCCGGCAATGTAGCGTAAGTAGCCGACGAAAGAGATGGTCTGGAGAGTCTTTCCAAGACCCATCTCATCGGCGAGGATACCAGAGATACCGTTCTCATGTAGGGAGATGAGCCAATTGAGACCAGCGACCTGGTAGTCTCGCATGGTGCCGCCCTTGATGAAGCCCGGCGACTCCCTGAAAACAGTCTCGTTGTGTCCACCGTGCTTCTCCTCGCGCACCAGCTCGGCATCCTCCTCCTGCTCAGTCTTTCTGCGTCGTTCCGCAGCGGCGCCGCCTTTCCGTATCTTGCTTGCCTTGGATCGCTTGGTCTCTTCGGCATCCTGGCGGTCGATCTCGGCGAGGATCTCCTTGATGCGCGGGTTGGGGTTCGTGTCGATGAAGTGGCGGAACAGGTCAGTGAGACCGAGGAGGTATCGAAAACGGCGAATGGTGTCGTCTTCCTGTAGAGAGAAGCCAAGTCAGTCTTGTCACTGGTGAATGCAGTGCGATGCGCAGTGACGTCGCGTACCTTGGACGCCCTTAGACCCTCAGCCTTCTTGCCGTACATGCTCTTTCGCATGTTCATCTCTTCGGCGCGTCGCTTTCGCCCGTCGAGTGGCGCGTTGTCCCCTGCGACACTGTTTGCTGTGGTGTTGGGGTTGGTGTCGGAATCCTATGCGCGTGTTAGTCCGTCGACTGGGTGAATGCGGTGGGAATTCGGAGTCATCGTACTGTGTAGTCTGGGGTATCGACGTTGTACTGCGCCTGCAATGTCAGCCCATGTCCTTCACTTGATCGCGCCTTCCACCACCTTGACGACTTGGTGTCGCGGCGAGGAAGGCGCGAACGGGGTCGCGCTTACGCCAAACTTCTTGAAGCCGCTCATTGTGTCGTCTGGCTGGTCCTGCATCTCGACATCTGAATGCGCCGACGCCTCATCCGACGAAGGCTCTTCCTTCTTCGCAGCGGCCTTCCGCGGCATATTGCCTGTTTGGGCTACTCGCCGCGTATAATTAGGTGAGTGATGTGACGACAATGGCGCAGTCGATTATGTGCCGTTTTTCGATATGTCGGCGTGTCGAATGCGATGGCGTGGACGCGTTTGGGACGTGTTCGTGGTGGCAGAGGTTTGCGCAATGTATCGCAGGAGTAGTGACAGAATAATGTGGACAGCCCTTGGCGCGTCTGGAAGAGGCGCGCTTTCCTCTTTGTGGCCGTGCTCACTACTACCCCAGGCCGGCAACACTAGACCAGCACTTCCATTCGCTTAACAGATCACCATCCACGCGTTTTCAGACTCCTACAGTAAATGACATGCAGACGCGATACTGATAAGAGGACGAAGAAGGGTAACGCGTGCCCGACGCAATATTCGGCATGACGTCAGTGCAATCATTTCTGAGTTGAATCGTTCGGCATGGCATTGAGGTTTACAAAGCAAGAGTAGAGCCCCTCGCGAGTCGGCTATACAGAAGAGCAGACAAACTACACCACCAGCCGAGCTTGTTAAGCATCAAGACTCTATTCGGCGTTTCTCTCCACCTCTGACGTCACTACACAAGAAAACAATTGTTAAATAGTTAGAAAACGAATTGACATGTACAAGACTACTCCAAACGTTTACTCTACCACCATACCCTCAACATGCCAGCCACATCGCTCACCATAATCTTTTCACCTTACCACGTCGGCATCCGCGACCACCGCGTCGGCGATGGCCCAAACCGCATCCGCGCACTCGGTCTGGTCCCTTCGCTCGAGAAGCTAGGCATCAAAGTCCACATCGACGAAATACCTCCCGTCGACGACTTCGAAGGCGAGATAGGCCGTTCATTCGAGATTCTCCGCCGGACATCCCTGGCAGTCAGCAAAGCGCGATCTCACAGCTCGTTCCCTTTTATCCTCTCTGGCAACTGCATGGCTAGCGTGGGAGCGGCATGTGGATTAGGCATCAAGGATCTCAACTTCATCTACTTCGACGCCCACGACGACATGGATACGCCTTCTACGAACCAGAATGGTTACTTCGATGCCATGGGCCTGAGTATGTTGGCGGGGAAGAGCTGGCATTGGCATACGGAGCAGATACCGGGATATGCACCGATGAAGTACGATAAGAGGTTCTTGTATGTTGGGCTAAGGGATGTGAACGAGGTACAGCGGAAGACGGTGCAAGAAGCCGGAGCAGATGTGATATGGGGTGATGCTGAGAAGGCTGTGGATTTCCCTGGCGAGTTGCAAAAGCGGCTTGAGGAGAGAGACATGTCGCCTTCGCTCGTGCATCTGGATCTAGATGTTCTAGACAAAAGCGTAGGCGTGGTTAATGGGTTTGAAAGCGAGGGCGGGCTGCAGGAAGAGGATGTAGTGAGGTGCATGAGTCTGTTGCCGAAGAAAGCCACTCCGGTGTCTTTTACTATGTGTTCTTTCAACCCGAATCTGGGAGATGGGGATAAAATTGCTGGCATAGGTATTCGTGCTGCTGTGGCATTTGTTAAGTCGTTGATTGTGGAGAAAGTGCTGTCAGCGCAAAGCTAGCAACTGTAAGAACAAAAGGCCCACTAGATAATGAAGAAAGTGGTTACGCTTGATGCCATCAACGTCTATCCACGGATGAGAGGACAACAACTTCGGGTCTCGGGTTCATCATACGCTTCTCGCAGCGTGCAAAACGTAACGGCGCGGGGCGGCGCTGTGTTGAAAGACAAGGCAGTTTCCCAGAGCCACGGGCTTGGGAAGTCGCCTCTCGGCCGCCTTCCCGCCAAGTCGCAACCCCAAATTGCCCCACCCACCTCCAACTTCGCTAATCCCCCTTTATCAATAGCAACGACCAACATGAAATTTCGCGCATGCACATTTGCAGTTCCCGAATCTGCATGACGCTGAACTGTCGTCCTTCTTTCCAGATCATAGACGCGTGTGCTTGCTCAGCCACACACAATAAGGCCAAAAAGGCATCTCACACGCCCGTCCATCTAGGCAGCAACCAGGCCGTCAGATAGATATTACACCCTCTGTGCACTATTGGTTCTCTGTGCCCCCCTCCGCCGGCGTCCGTTCATTGCAGAGACGCCATGGATGACACCGCCGTGCGCAGCCTGTCTGCTGACAATGCTGGAGAGCAGCTTACGCTTGAGAGGAGGTCATGCTTCGTCGCGCAACGAGCAATTACTTCTCAGCCTTGAGAAGCACAGCCCCGCTCTTGGGCTTAATTCATGTCTGTCCTTCCAAGTTCCACCTTTCGGTCGTCATCTTGCAATTCGATATAACTCACGAGTACATCGACATTCTACTACCAAGTGCGTCCAAGACTAGGCAAGTATTTGCCGCTTAGTGGTACTATCTTCGTGCTAGCCTCATGCCCACAGTGTAAACGACACCATTCATACCGACGCGAGCGCATATCAACGCTAAGATCTCGTCGAGTTTGTCTCAGCTCGCGACCACAGCAACAAGGGTTTCCCCAAATGCGCCTGATCAATTGCTCCACGCTTCGGTTGGAAGACTTCTACGGCGACAAAATTCCACACTATGCCATTTTGTCGCATACATGGGGCAACGAGGAGGTATCCTTCGCGGAATTTAGCCTGGGCCAGGGTAAAAGACGATCTGGCTATCGCAAGATCTTGTTCACCTGCCGGCAAGCGCTCACCGACAAACTCAAATACGCGTGGATAGATACGTGTTGCATCGATAAAAGTTCTAGCGCGGAACTTTCCGAGGCAATAAATTCCATGTTCACATGGTACAAGAATGCATGCTACTGTTATGCATATCTTTCGGACGTTTCGAAAGTCCGCATGGAGTTCGACTTCCCTAGGAGCAAATGGTTTACACGGGGATGGACACTGCAAGAGTTATTGGCGCCAGAGCAAGTTATCTTCTATGATCGTGAGTGGCTTCATCTGGGTACAAGACTACAACACTCAGGATGGATTTCAACAATTACGGGCATAGACAAGACGGCTTTAGATACCCCAGGGGATACCCGTCCTCGAGGTGCCAGACTTGGCTCCTTTTGTGTCGCTAAGCGGATGTCATGGGCTTCCAGGAGACAGACAACACGAGCAGAAGACAAGTCCTATTGCCTCCTTGGAATCTTCAACATAAATATGCCGCTACTATACGGGGAAGGTGAACAAGCTTTTGTGCGTCTTCAAGAAGAGATTATCCGGAGAAATAGTGATGACTCCATCCTTGCGTGGGGTCTCAAGCCAGGGATGGAGCATCCTCTCGGATTAGTACCAGATAGGGTGAGGGACGCGATAAAGGGTGGTACAAGTCCTTTCTCTCAGTCGACCGATATCTTGGCGAGATCGCCGGATGACTTTGTCCACTGCGCCAACCTGGTCTACGGTGTAGGGTCAACCTCTCCATTTGAATTGACGAACACTGGATTGCGAATTGAGCTACCGCTTGTGCCAATATACGAGACAAGAGAATTCACTGCTACACATGGCTTCGATGAGTCTATTGGACTACTTAGTTGCTCGACGGGATCACGTACGAGATTTCTGGGTATATTGCTGAGGCTAGAGAGACGCGATGACAAGGGTAACGCCAGGGTAAAACGGGTCGAAATTCGCTATCTAGAAGATCCCCACAGCACAATAGTGATTGGTCCAAGAGCCGCTGCAAAGTCAGTCCTCCAAAAGGTAACGATTGCCAGATCCGACGAGAGCCAGGGAGCACGAAATTCTGCTCTGCGCCTCCGGCAGGTCTGCATCAACGAATCAAATGCTTTCCGAGCTACGAATTACAGAGTCAAGAGTGGTACTGCATGGAATATCGCGTTCCCATCAACGCCAGGATTTGGATACAATCAGGTCTGGGACCCTCACTCGATGGTCCTTACGATAGAAGAGGAAAGGAGTACTCGATACCTAGCGGAGTTTTGCTTCGAATCGCCATCACGAAGGCGAGATACCATGTTCAGCGTGTTCATCCATACTGCGAGCAATAAAGCCCTGGCATTGAGAGGGAGTGAGTTCTCCGGGGACGACAAACTTAACATCTATAGAGATCTCGAAGAGGATTACGCGCAACCCTATAAGAGTCCCAAACAACATCAACCAGGAGAGGTGATACTCCACCGTGAAGGAGGAGACTCTTATCTTGTCAAGGTTGGGACTCATGTAAGAAGGGTTTACAACCGTCAGTTGCTCGAGGTCAATCTTGATGTAAAGCCATACGTACGTCAACAATAATGAGTCATACAAGATTATGAGGCCTTGCTATGAGACGGAAAGAGCTAAATCGTTGATACGCCATGCTACACGCAGCGAGAAACACAGATAAGTCACGTTACTCTATGCGAAACTCGCCATAACGACGATCGGACTTTCCCCGGTCGACCGCTGTAGGACTGCTTGCATCTTCGTATCATCTCAGCAGTATTCAGTCATGGAGCTGTGTTGCAGAGCATTAAAGACATGACTATCATGGCTTTTTCTAACGGCAAATGCATATTACGTGCAAACATGGTGAATTGAGGAAAGCGTCATAAAGCGCGACATGAAAGCAAGCATGTGGTTTCAATATAGCGATGCGCGAAAGCCGGAAGCCGCAAATGGATTGGTGTGAGTGTACTCAAAGACTAATTCTGCGCAGACGTCTATCGTTTCAAGTGGACCCACGTCATCGGCACATTCTTCGGGCGCTCGCCAACCACGCTTGCCCCGCTCGGAAAGCCGCGTCTCCACTTCCTCTCCAAACCACGCGATAAGACCCGTTGCGTCTAGCAACGCACGGCGGCATCGGAAAGCTATCTCCTGCCTTTTTACGATATCATTGACGCCGTTTACGTACATACGCAACGCACATAAGGCGTGCCGATGAGACGGGCCAGTCACGAGAAAGGGCCGAGAGCTTATCTGCGTGGTTTCCACGTTTTACCCTGGCTGGGCGCATGCCTGGTAGACACCGACATGTCTTGTGCTGTGGATTGAAGACGAACTACGCGAAGGACCGGAATAATGACTCTGTGTCAGTGGGGTGCATGCTTTGGCGACGTTGGTGGATGATATGCGGCCGAGCTATAAAATACACGGCAGACCTGCAGCCATGTCGTGGCATATCTCGCGCTTCGCCACAGGCCACAGTCAGGATTCTCTGTAGGCAAGATGTATCTCTCCTGGTCCTTGGGCGTCGCGTGCCTCATCGTCGCCAGCGTTCAGGCAGCTGTGTCGTCCACTGGCTTCACAGTATCGCTAACGGATGTCGACTACTTCCTGCCACCGAAGCCAATCGCCAAGATCTCTGGCTGCAAAGAGCTTTCAACCTCGTTCGAAGATGCCATGTTTGTGCCGTTCACAGTGGTCAAAGCGCAAGGCTATGGTGTTGACGTTGCAGCACTTACAGCCAGCTACGCTGAAGATGACGTATGGCAAGAGGGCTTCATGGAGGGTACGCGCGAACTGTGCTTACTCAATACTTTAGCTAACATAGTTTTGCAGCGATATACGTCCAGGGAAGCGAGTTCAAGCCCATGAACTCGTCTTTAACCGTATTATCCGGCACCTCATCCAAGGCATTGGCTCCAGGACCCTACTTCATCAACGCAGCCGGCCATGTCTACGAGGCGTGGAGACTCTTCTCCGACGTTCAAGGTGCTTTCACAGAGTCTGCGATCGCTAATGGTGACGGTTCATACTCTGTCTTGCCCGCAGGCACTGTAGGCCAGAAGCATGCCATCGCTGTTCCTTCGCGTCTGTATTACACCAAGACGGCTGAGAAGCCGCTGGCTGGTGTTCGCATTGGCATCAAAGATATCTATGATATCAAGGGCTTGCGGACTTCAAACGGAAACCGAGCATGGTATTGGCTATATTCTCCTGCCAACGCGACGGCGCCACCCGTTCAGAATCTCATCGACGCGGGAGCGATCATCGTCGGCAAGATGATCACGTCTCAATTTGCCAACGGTGAGACTGCGACGGCCGACTGGGTCGACTACCACGAGGCATTTAACCCTCGTGGTGATGGCTACCAAGACACCTCATCCTCCAGCAGTGGCGGAGGCGCTGGTACAGCATCGTACCCCTGGCTGGATGTCAGTCTTGGATCCGACACCGGCGGCAGTGTACGCGGACCATCCCAGGTTCAAGGTCTTTATGGTAACCGACCATCTCACGGGCTTGTCTCCCTCGACCACACCATGCCTCTCAGCCCCGTGCTCGACACGCCCGGCTTGCTAGCTCGCAACCCGCAAGTCTGGATGGAAGCAGCACAAGCTATGTACGGCCCCAACATCACTATTACCAGCAACTACCCAACGAGCATTCATACTCTCGGCTGGCCCACCGCAGTCGACGATGTCGCAGATGAGCTTCTGATGGACTTCCTGGGCAACATGACCGAGTTTCTCAGCGCTGATGCCACAGCGTACAACGTTACAGCCTCCTTTGACGCTGCGAACGCGGATATCGCACCCCTCACAACCTTCATGAACCTTACCTACGCCCTGTTGATCACCAAACAGCAAACCGAGCTCGTTCGCGAGCCCTTCTACGCCGACTACGCCGCCATCAACGACGGCCGCTTGCCCTTCGTCAACCCAGTTCCACTAGCGCGCTGGGGCTGGGGAGACAACCAGACCTACACAGCGGATGACGCCGTAGCCAACAAAACCATCTTCCAAACTTGGGCCAACGAAACTTTCCTCGCGCCATCACCCGAGACATGCTCTAAGTCTCTCGTCATGTATGTTGGCTCCACTGGCAGCACCACGTACCGTAACACGTACTGGGATGAGCCTGGTGTGCCTTTCGGATTCAGCAATAGTCGCATCTCGGTCATGGCTGAGGTGCCGGATTATGTTGTGCCGTTGGGTGAGGCGCCATATAATTCGACGATCACGGGACATGTGGAGTACCTGCCTGTTACGGCGAATTTGATGGCGGCAAAGGGCTGTGATGGGATGTTGTTCTCGTTGATTGGGGAGTTGTATGAGGCGGGTATTCTGAAGGAGAGCATGGTGGGTAGGAGCGGGGTGACTGGTGGTGACATACTGTTGAAGAGGGATGGACTATGGTGATGGGTATGCGACCAGAGAAGATTCCGAAAATATTCAATACAGATCACTTGTCAATTCTGCTTAAAACAAAGTTCATCAGGTTTAGATGGCTAACACGACATGACATGGAGTGCAAAGGATAGCTGGTGAACTACCGCGATTCGCTTGGCGTCCCTATAGCCTACCCTGCGAGCTCCAAGAACGTGCGGAGCACGAAGCTAGTGCCTCAATCGAAAACCTCCTCTTGTCAATCGACATCATGTCAAAGCCTGGATGCTATCACTGTCACCGTGTTTAAATCTCAAGTTCGGCGCGAGAATTTTCGCCTTGTCTTTTCGTTCAGCTAACGCTCATGATCAGGTCTGATAATCTTTGGGGCGCTGATCCCGCCTGCACGATGATGGAATTGATGCAGCCTGCCACCAACACAATCGTTCATTGGCTGGTACACAGCTGCAAGTCTCGCTTGAATGTACGTGTCAATACCAGCATCAATGCTGCTGCCTATTTTCCTCCTCTCTCCATGATCCCTTGTCGGTGCGGATGTTCCCTGCACATAGCAACGGCTTGTCAACTCTGACTAGATCTCGCATCAACCACGCTCCCAGGTCATTGAAACTACAACTGGCTGTGAGAGCGGCACTGTTTTCACTATGGATACCGAAGATAGCCGCACTATGGTAGGACCGATGGTCAAGGATATGACAGAGCTGTGCGACTTTTGCATTGAGTTTACCAAACTCATTGTGCGACTCCCAGAGGACCTCGGGACAACTGGAGACCAGCCCAACAGAATTGACGAATTCGTCCCAGGTCGCGGGCTGGAGTCATGCCAACTGTGTGAAGTAATCTCATCAATCGAACCAACCACACCAGCTGATCTGAGAACATCTCTCATTCGTAGCGGGTTTGCGTCGCGAAATCGAAGCTTTGAGCAACGAGACCGAGTGTGTGGGACCCATATCAGAGGCAAGAAATTCAGAATATGGGCAGATGTAGGTGAGAAGCTGAGATCTGGTTATGCTTGGTTTCGCTGACGATAGAACCCAGGAAGCCCTGCATGCGAAACTTTGGTTGATCGCCCGCCAATAGCTGGCCTTCCTATGCACCAGATACGCGACCTAATCCAGCATTGGCGAAAGAGATGCTGTTTTCATAAACATTGCCAACTTGAGGCTAAAATGCCAATGCCCACTCGTGTTCTTGCGCTCTGTGAAGACCATGCTCAACCTTTGATCAGGCTTGTTAAGAGTAAGGGCATGAAGGGACGGTACTTGGCCCTAAGGGTAAGACTACACAGCCAATGCTAATTGGGAATTTATACTAATCCAATGACAGTATGTTCTGTTACTTTTGTTACGTCTTAGTAGTATCGCAGGTAAAAAAAGAAGCAGCAAGGACATCCGATGTTCTCTCATGTGCGAATTTGCAACTATGACAACCCTGAAACAAAGCATGTGGTCATTTAAAATCGTTACTAATATCTTGATAGCCACTGCTGGGGCTCGGTGGAAAAGCAACCGCTTTGCACAACGCCTACAAATTTCAAGAGGCATCAAAAAGGCATCGCATTCGGAGATTTGCCTAGAACGTTCCAGGATTTTGTGAACATCGCACGATCCATCGGCATTAAATACATCTGGATTGACTCTCTTTGCATCATACAGGGCAATAGTCGGGATTGGCACTCGGAAGCAGAGAAGATGGGAGATGTCTACCGAAATGCGGCTTTCGTCATAGCTGCCTCGGGCGCAGAAGACTCTAGCCAGGGACTGTTCATAAACGACCGATTAGCCGAAAAGGTCTTTAGGTTGCCTTACAGAACAGCTGACGAAGTCAAAGGAACATTCAACATTGTGCAATCGCCTAACGAACCGGACTGGCACCCAGCACATGGTCCTCTAGAAACTCGGGCATGGGCACTTCAAGAACGTTATCTTGCGCGACGTTTGATCACTTTCATGTCACGTGGCATCACATGGAGGTGCGATTCAATATCAGTAAATGAGGCAGAGGAACCCTTCTTGGATATTCGCCGAAACCATTGTTGGGCCTTGCTCTTAAGTGAATATACAAGACGAGCTTTGACATTCCCCTCAGATCGTACCGAGGCTATACGAGGAGTTGCTGAAGAGCTTCAACTTTCTCGGACGGATCGATATATTCCAGATTACGGTGTCTGGGAGGACCAGCTTACGAATCAGCTGCTTTGGTACAAAGATGGTCCATTTTTTGACAATGGTAGACTGTCTCACAAGCCCTCATGGAGTTGGATCACTACTGGAAGTGCTAAAATATGGTCTCAGGAGATTCTCTTGATGGATTCTGATGGTGAAGCGTCTGTCATACCGCCATCGACTCGGACTACAGTGGGGAGTGCGAAGATATGGCTGCAAAAGGTTTTGGCTGCGAGACCTGTGTTCCTCGAGACAATGTCCAACGAATTGGCGATCACCTTTGAAGGAAGTCTTCAGGTTTTAGGTCACTTGAGCACCGCTACACCAGCTCCAAGCTATGTGCGAGACAGGTACACCGCACGTGACCTGCAGGTGCCGGAAGTACGATCTTTCTACGACGGATGGAGTGAACAACCCGCTTCCTCCTACATTCTCACGCAAGATATCGATGACGATTATGATCAAACAAATCTTGGGTCTGCACGTTTCGACGACGACGCGATGAAGTCATACAGTCACGCATGGTTCCTTGGAAAGCAAATATTCAAGAGCGAACCATTGGTCCGGAAACCATTCGTGAAACGTGAATTCATTGTGAGAGTTCCCCGTTCATCTGCAACATGTAAAGACTGAGATCTATTAGGATGACGTAGTCTACCATACAGAGCATAATCCGGAATTTGTCTACTGGGCGCTTCTTCTCGAGCGAGTAGACGAGAGCAGATACAAACGCGTTGGCATTGCGGTCCTCTTGCCCGTGGCGTATAAGGCCTTTCAAACGCAGCTTCAGAAGTTCCAAATCATTTAGTCCCTCAAACCGTTGGAACACGTTATTTTGGCTTTAGTAAAGTTACGTACAGGTTATCACACCGAATCTATGATCATAATGTCCGCGTCACCAATAGCAACTGACGTGCGACCGTTTACATCGCCTACGCCTAGACTTTTCGCATCTTCATCTAATCCCATATCCCTTCATCAACGATAGGCTTCCCTGTGCTGGAGGCCTCAAGGAGCTGTTTGACAGTCCAGGGTTTGTATGTATATCCTGGCACAGCATTCCTGTGCTCGAAACGTTCGCCGTTCAATGTATGGTCTGCGCAGCTCTTATATGAGTTGTAGGCATACTGCTCTGGATCGTGGTATATGACCCAGTCCCCAACCATCTTGCCCATGGCCTCTGGGTTCTTTGCGACGACATCCCAGTCCGTGTTATAGAACACCTCGCGGTTCTTGAAACCCATCTTCGGAGCCGATGAAACCCGCTCGAATCTATCAAGGTATGTCAACTCTGTCATGACACTTCTTATGTACGTGTAACGAAAAAGGGTGTAGTAAATGCAGACTTACCTCAAATGGTTGTGCACCTTGGTTGCGAGATATGCATCGTTCTTTCCCGCGATCTATAAGCATGCTGCTAGAGAGAATGCGTCTTCCATCGCCATAGTTCCACCGCTAGCTGAAGTCGGAAAGAATGGGTGTGCGGAGTCTCCTATCTGAACTACCCAGCCGATAGGCGATACCCACCGCGGCTGGCGGTCATGCCACATCAATTTCCAGTCGAGAACAGTATGACCAGGCGTAGCTTTGATAACTTCGGTAATAAATGGCTCCCAGCCACGGGTCGCTTCGAGGGCTTTGTCGATCGAAGTCGACTGAGACCAGCTTTCTCCGTCTTTGTCGCCATCATCCTACCCTCAGTATCAGCAACTGCGCATCATGGCAAAGGAGAGTGGAGAAAGCTTACCTTGCAAGTCAGCATCCAACAAATCTTATCGCCTGACAGGCAGGTAACCATGTGTGCTCCCGGGCTGAAGCAGGGCTGCGAGGATGGATTGTGGTCTATTGAACGAATTATGCTTTTCAATGTACCTAGGGAGGTCTTCCTTATTTAAAGTATATCGAACATGTTGAGTAGATGCTAACACTGACGCGAGCAAACGCTGCCGGATGCTGTCATTGCCGTATCCGCCATTGCAGTTCACCTTTTCGTCCGTGGCGGTGGTTTTCCAGTCGCTCAAATGATCGTCGTGCAGATCGCTTCTGTACGTTATGTTGTAAGTTCCTCGTGCGGCGAATCGTTGTACGAAGTGTCCGCTGTTCAGATTTCCACAACGGTCAGCCAATTATATCGTCCTAAGAGCTTTTTGATCTCCAACACGAAAACAGCACCTTGGGTTAATTAAGTAACAAGCATCGCGGAATACTGTCGAACTTCTGCTTACATCACTTGTCTTGATTACTTCCTACGTTGTACAGCTTGGGTGCCAGCGATACAGTCGCGGTAGTAGTTGTAGAGGCAAGCGGCACATGCAGAACCCCAGTCATGACCGATGGAGATCATTTTGTCGACCTTTTCGGTGTCCATGACATCGACCAGATCCTTCGTCATTGCATCCTACCTGTACTCGGCTGGATCAGTCGGCTTATCGGTACCATCATAACCAAGCATATCTGGTATGATGATGGGAAATTCGGTATCGATAAGACGTTTCGCGATAACCTTCCACATCTCGGCGTGATCGGGCCAGCCGTGCTGAAACAACAGGGTTGGAGGAGATCTATCGCCTTCAGACGTGTAGTAGGTGTAGGTGTAACCCCGAGCGGTCTTCCAAGTCTTCTTTTTGAAAGCGTCCATCTTGCAATGCTTCGTGATAGGCGCATTTAATGGAAAGCTGCTTGGAGATTGTTATGTGATGACGTGCAAAGTTAGAAAAGATATGAGCAGCAGGTACTTCCAGACATTTCTTAAGTAGTGGACCTGTAATCTGCAACATCATCTCGAACCTTCATACGTACGTAAAAGTCGGAGAGTATATGCTAGGTGGAGACTACATTTGCTAAGCATGTACGAGACAGTGCCTCGCGGATACCACATGATGAGCGACACATGCCTCGGTGTGCTCAACCTAGGTACAACTAATTTCCGCATGACTTACCATATTCGTACCAAGCTCAGAGAGTAAAGCGAAGTTAGTATAGGACAGTTGGTAGTATAACTGATCCTAAATTCTGTTCCTATACGTAGAAGTGTTTGGTTGGTGGCCATGCAGTACTGCGAATGCAGCTTTCACAACAGAAGCAGACTTAGTGATGCATATGACACGTTCGCAACCTCGTGCTGTGCAAATAGTCCGAAGTCGCGATGGCTGTTTCTCGGTCTAATGATGGGGTCGTTCCGCAATGATTGATCAGCCAAGGGCCTTGTTTGTGCTTTAATTAGCTTGTGGAACTAAAGAGCTGACTACTCGTAGAAGTAATGGCAACAACATAGATTAATAAGTTCTCAGAAAATTGTCAGCGATATCTGCTTTAATTCCGCCTTGGATTGTCCGGCTATATTGCAGGTTCAAGATCGCAGGAACGCATACGAAAGGCGTATGGGACGCCTTCCATAGTATTCCGATAAGGCCTTTCGGGCAGGATCTACCTATAATATTAGTGAATCCAGTAGTTCAAGTCGCTCCCGCAGCTTAGCTACCAAGGTGCTCCTGAGTACGATGACAGCCAGATGGGATTTACTTCCACAGCCTTGGTAAAATGGTCGTATGAAGTACTAGTCTGTCGTGTTTGACCAGCTCGGAAAATGAGTTTCGTAGCTTCGGAGTGAAGGGCATTGGGCCATGCCGATCGAAAAGCAGTCGTGCTAGGGGAAATGAGGAACAGTGGCTTCGAGGATGGAACGTCGCGCCCGCTCTGCGGCGACGGAGAAAGCAGCCTCAGATATTGTGACAGATATGAGATGATCTACCGTCTAGATCTCCCTTCCAGCCTGCTGCATGCATCTGCCTGATCATCCAAAACACAATGAAACCAGAGATAGCCATCATCTCCAGGGTATCAGATACTACACTGCGACTTGATGACAACCGACAATTCCTACCCCAGATATGATTGTCGTAGCGTACTTAGAGATTTCAATGTGACCGCAACATGCTGACCGGTGAGGATGCACTGGTTGATAACGGTATGGGCCTATAGTCCAGACGCTGCAAGTAGCGCATGCTTTCCTTGAAGAAGTCTCCCCCGTTGAGAATCGATCAAGAAGTTGACGTAGATTCAGCGCTCATGTGAAGGCAGCAAGTAAGATATGTTTGATAGTCAGCATGGAAGAAAGATTGAGTGAATACACGCGCTTGGTGCAAGAATAAAGATGTCGCATAGGAGCTGTTGGGACCCGAGGTCGGTGCGGACTACCGACACGCGATTGCGATGCGCAGGCGTGCAATATCAAAGAAATATGTCGGCCAGCGACAAACGAAGGTCTAGTGCTTAGCATTGGGATCTAACAACGTTTTGCGAGTCGGACGTCCGAACTTACCTTAACCCTGAACCCTTGATTGCCAGCCAATCATAGCATCACCAAAGCGCTGACGACGGGCTTCCCGAGATCCGCCCGCCCCACACGGACTAGTCGCGTGTTGCCCACCCTGCGCGGCACACCTCAATGAGGTCCGGAGTCAATGACGACACAGCATAAGCCGAATATGTTTGCGGCCGTTGCACAGGGCAAGAGGCGTTCGGCTCTCCGCCGCGGCACAACCAAATGGATGGCCTGCTACGTGAAATAATACATCTACCATCTCCTCATTGCCCAGTCACATCAACCGCAATTGCAATTCATCACCGCCAAACTTCAAGATGAGCCACCCAACACATCCCGCCACAGTGCACTTCCCCATCACAACTACCCTACTCACGGGTGGTTTGGATGCGGTATACTTCCTGTCGAAGTATGCACCGACGTCTGGCGCTGTGGCCTCGGCCTGTACGTCCTTACCCTCGATTCAACCCATAATGCACCCTATCGTGTCATCTAGCTAACAACACTTAGTCAAAACCCTAGACATCGCCATTAACCCGACCATCTTCCCCCTCCTATCCTACTACACCACGCTCCTCACTCTCCTCTTCTCCGCGCCCGCTGTCGCGACCGGCATGTACGAATTCATTCCCCTCGTTAAGCGCGACGGCTTGAAGTCGAAGAAGGCACAGGTTGGCGCGCTACACGCTGTCATCAACGATGTAACGGTGATCGGTGCGGCTTTCAACTGGTGGACGCGCAGGAGCAACCCCGGCATGGTGCCGAGCGATACCAATATCTTGATTAGCAGTGTCATTGCGCTACCGGCTACCATGTTCGCTGCGTATCTGGGTGGCAGCCTGGTGTACGTATATGGCATGGGTTTCAGGGGTGGACAGGCAAAGGCGAAGAAGGCGCAGTAGGCGCGAGACATACGATGATAGCTGATTATGTCATTGTCAAGAAGCGAATCATGTTTATGGAGATTTTGTGCATTGGTGTTCCATCGCTGCTTCTCGCGTTTTGGATTCGTACAGTCCAGCCGACGGGGCATAGGAAGAAGAGGCAAGACAGGCAACAGCGAGGTATAAGAGAAGTGCAAGAGCGAAAAGTGGAAGTAAAAGACAAGTAAAAGGCATTCTCGTTCCAAGATTTACAATTTCCCTTTGTCAAACTTGTTTGTACAGTTCGATGTGACCCGACCAACACGAGCCACATGCGTTTTGTTGATCCCGACTCGCCAATCGATGCGACAACTTGTATGAGATCAACGTTTAGGTATACCGCCAAGGCTATACATTCATTCCCACTAGGAATGCTCTAGCTGTTCGAATTGGTCACACTCGTGGCGCTGATCGGCATCGCTCTGGATGTTCACTCGAGGGTCGATGCCCATGGGCGTTGGAGGGAGATATCCCGGTGATATTGGATGAATGTAAGCAGTCGTATCAGCCGGATTTATGTAAGAGAATGTCGAGTGGTTCAAGTGTCGTTTGTCGTGAGAAGTGTCGGCATGTCCTTCTCGATCAGTCGTCGCCGGGTTGGGCAGGCTAACTACCTGGCTTTGAGGTGTACTTGCTGAGGGCGATGGTCCAACTTTGATATCCTCGTGTGATGAGAGAGATGATGCAGCTGGTAGCGGGTGGGAGCTGACAGTAGGTGCAGGAGAGGACAGCTCACATGCATGTACATGCATGTTTATGATGTGGTCAATCAACAACCCCTTGCTGGCGAAAGAATGACCGCAAGCGTAGCAGTGAGGTGCGGATGCTACCAAGCCGAGTGCCGTAGGATGGGCCTTCTCCAGGTGGTTTTTGAGATTGCCTTTCTTCTTGTATCCGGTCTTGGAACACTGGCAATCTTCGGCAAACGCGCAATTAACAACGAGTAAGGTCGCAGTGTGCCTTCTGCGTGGACTTCGTTCAGACGACATAATTTAAAGGACATACAGTCCGCCAACGCTGAAGAGGGTATGGAAATGGTGTTCAAGCAGATGTATGTAGGAGTGATAGGTGCAGGGCGTGCAAGAGCTTCGATGTCAGGATGATAGCGAACGAGACTTGAACTGGTTGAATCTAGAGGAAATTAATCATACGTAGGATTTATGTGGTTTGCGAAAAGGTCACATTGGAGACCGCACAAGGCCTTTATACTTGTAGCGAAAGTCTTAGAGATGAACCAGGTCTTGGGAACATGCAAGTTCTTGAGTTTTCCACATTGAACGCGGCTATGCCAAGTCGTCGGAATAGCACTGTGCTTTCTGTAACCTAGGCATACTTCCAACGGCACTTTGAGGATGCAGGGCGGCGAGATGGACGAGAGCCAACGAAGCCGATGGCAGGTGGGGCTGGTGATTGGTCGAGGCTGAGCTAATGATGCGGGATGCGCCTGATCTAACGACAAATGGCGTACCGCATTCCTGAATGCCGCTGTGCTTTTTGTAACCTAGGCATTCTGTCAAGGACACTACGACGGTGCAGCATCACACCAGATGGCAGACGGACTAGCCGCCCGGTTGACTGAAACGCGCACCCTATACGACAGGTCCTTCGACCCGTTCCAGGAAGATCTACTTTGCTTGTTTGCAGAGGCCGGCGTAATCTGCGCAGTGGTACCACAAAGCCGGCCAAGATTCCACAGTGACTCTGTAGAATTTCGCAAAAGCGAAACTTGCCCTCCCCACGACATAATGATTTTCTCGAATGTGTCTTTCGCTTGCGCCACGCATTCGTTCACGATGCCGTCTTCAACATAGTTGTTTATATCTCTCCACCAATAGATAGAACGCCACCTTCATCACCCTACATACTATCAGTGTCGGTATTGGCTGAGATCGGAATCATCTTTTAGCCTCAGTCGCTCTGCCGTCTGGAGGTATGTGGAGGCTGAGAAACAAGAATGCAGGATGGATGGGACACGCCAGCCCACCGAGGTACGCTCCCAGGTGTGAACGTACTTTACATGCTTTGGAGATGCATCTTCGTGCCAAAGCATGAGTAGTTCCGCAGCGATCGCTCCGTCGCTTCTCCATAGCTCTCTGCGACAGAGGAACATCGTGGTTGTTTAGATGTATAGCGCGTAAACGTCTTGTTGCAAAACACGTGGCGGACACTGTGAGTGTGCGCGAGCGACTTATCAACTGGCCAGATAGCCTGTGTATGTGCTGACGGCTGGGGACCAACCCGCCCCTTGCTCACGTTCAGTTGCGGGACGACGAATACAAGCTCTCTTGGCAGTAGCTCTTGGCGGAAGCAATGCATTTGTACTCGAGATAAGCGCGCCATGACCTAGGGTTTTAGCAGCAACGGCGACAGAATTGTCAGGGGTTTTCAGAT